AGGATCCCCCCCCCTCCCCCTTCTCCCTTCAGCCCTTCCAGCATCTCCTCCTCCTTCTCCCGGAACTTGGAAAGAAGGAAAAGAGAATAGGACAACGGGGAATAATAATAAAAATCTCCAAGGGAAGAAAAGAAAAATAAAAAGTCCCCAGCAATGCCTGCACGGCGCACCTATAGAGCCCCGGCGCGGAATGGCTGTTTTGAGTGCAGGAACCGGCGAATCAAGGTAGGTGCTCTTGGGGTTTTAGTCCCGGTGAAGCTTAACTTAAGTTGCCTGGCCTGGCCTGCTATTTTCTTGGTTGTCTCTCTGGTCCACTGAAAGTTTCCATCCTTTTTCCCTTCTTCTGCTGCTGCTGCTGCTTCTTCTTCTTACATTTTCCCTCTTTTTTAATTTTCTCCCTTCTGTTTCTTTCCCTTCTCCATTCACCAATTTTCCTCTCCCTTTCCTCTCCCCCATCATTGCCTGGGTGCCTGGATGCCTGAATGATGCAGTGATCCCTTCCCTTCTCTTCCCGGCCTCCTCCCTCTCCTACTTTAGATATGTACCTATCAGTGGAGCTTTATCTGCTTGTTTGATTGCTGCTGTGGATCGGGACCTTTGCTACTTTCCATTCCCACCACTACTACCACCACCATCATTACCACAACCCCCCCTCCTCCCTCCCCTGAATTACACCGCATCACTTCTTAATTTCAGTGGTTCTTTTCAAATTGGGACTGGTGGTCCTGTGTCGCCCTCATAGATGCTAATTGGACCGGGATGCAGTGCCCCAACGAACACCCCCAGTGCTCCCATTGCACCAGCGACAACATAATATGTCAATATATTCCCTCCTCCCACTCCTTGGTCTGGCCTAGGGTCAAGTCTCGCTCCACCACCCCGACCCTTCCCCCATCCCGCACCGCCTCCCCTTCCCACATGAACCCCAGGATTCTCGCTGAATACCGCGTCGTCATGGACCCCGTCGCCCCTTCCAATCCCACCGGGGAGCTCAACATCCAAGACCTCGAGTTGATGATGCAATGGTGCACGACCACATACCGCTCGGTCTCGCGAAATACCTCGGTAGAGGGAATCTGGCAGGGCGTCGTGCCGCGGGAAGCCATGCGCCACCCATTCTTGATGCACGGCATCTTGGCTCTCTCCGCCCTGGACCTGGGCTTCAATTGCCCCTCCGGCCCGCCCAAAGACTACTACATCCGAACCGCCCAGGCACATCAGTCCCGGGCTGTGACCGGTCTCGGCAAGGTCGCCGGATGTCTGGATCAATCCAACTGCAATGCCGCTTTTGCCTTGTCCAGTATCATGGTCGTCTTTTCCTTCGCCCTCCCTCGGACGACGAACAAACACGGGGACGTCCTGAATGAGCTTCTCAACATATTTCGGTTCACACGCGGGTCGGTGGACGTCCAAGGAGGAATCATCGATTGGGTCGCGGACGGCGAATTCAGCCCGCTGCTCGAGTGCGACACCTCGCAGCCAACCATGCCCGACACGTCTCGGCTGGCCATCATGTCGCTGACACGAATGAATGCGGACCTCGCCAGCCGCGATCCTGCGCATGATAAGGCCACGTATGACACGACGATCCGGTACCTGAGCTACTCGCTGGACAAGCTGGCCCGGGGCGGAGAAACCATGATTATTGCCTTCCAGTGGATCTTCCAGATCCCGCCGCGATACTTGGATTTGCTGCAGCAGAGGCAGCCCTTCGCGTTAGCCATCTTGGCCCATTACGCGGTGATTATCCACTCGCTGCGAGGACATTGGTGGATGGGCGAGTGGGGAGCGCGACTGATCCGGGAGATCGGCCAGCACCTGGGTGCAGACTGGAGAGACTCAATCAGTTGGGTGGTGGACGCGACAGGCTGCTATATTCCTCCAGTCTGACACGGTTCATGGACGAGATTTATAAGTACCTATTTTTCCACTCTCCAGGCCATGATCTGCAGTTCAGACACCGACAATGGATGCATCCGCACGCTGGAGAGTATCGTGTGGTCAACATGACTACCCTTGAAAGACGCGTGCAGCGTGCACGCTGCCCGTCGATAGCCTTGAACCCAAGGGAAACACTACTGCCATCCGTGGGGCCAGGCTCTAACTTGACTGGCCTACCCGGAACTCATGCAATCGTGAACAAGAGGGAATTATGCAGTGGACTGCAACAGAAAGAAGACCAAGACATGACGGGAAATCACATTTGGGGAGGCCGACCGGGGATAAGCACTAAGAGCGGAGCGGAATAAAACACCACAACGAAGAAAGACAAATGCAATAAACTAGTGGAACACTTAGTTGGCTAGCCGGTGGACATGAAGGAGGAAAAAAAATGCCGACCGCCAATCACTCAACAGCACAATCTGAACAAGGGTGCTGGACATCTACAACATCTACCACTACCTATGGCATGATCACATGGGACACATACTCACTTGGCATGAGATGGATGATACCTCATCAGCAATACACGGCGTACTTTGGTATTTCATTTCGGTTTCAGAGCAAGCTATGCATAGATACATTTCCAATCCAATCATAGATTCACACACGATCTACACTATTTACCTCGGCATAGACTGAGTAACAGAACCCCTCATAATAATACCCGTAGTAATAGCCACTAAAGAAACAAGGCAGGAAAAAAGCAATATGCAGCCATCCCCATTCCCAGTCCCCATAGATAAGTCCCCGCGATTTCATTGGAGACGCACTAACAATAGTGCCAACAACCACATAGTACAAAAGGGGCCCGGTGAGCACTTGTTCAATTTAAACAGGAAAATGAGATTATATTACTAAAACAGAGACATATAATGATACCCCGAATCCAAACACAAGAAAAATACCACAACAGCAATCAAAAAAGATGACAGTGAAATGACAAAATCCGCCCATCGCGCCGTTCTTTTTCCCACGTCCGGGTTTCTTTACTACATGGGTATTCTTCAAAACACAAAAACAGATCCAGATCGAATGGGAGGGAATATGAAAGGAAGAAGAGATAAGGAAGGGGATGTGAGAGAGATCTCTCCATCTTTAGGTGGATGGGTATAGAGATGGAGAGATAGGTAAGTGGGTGAGTGGGTGGGTGGGTGGGTAGGTTGGTGGTGTCGAGCACGACCTGCACACTGATTGCTGGATGTTGTGTGGAGAAGGTAGTGCAGGTATCAGTCGGTCAGTCAGTCAGTCGAAGTATAGATAGATAGATGGGATGTTTCCATCCCATCCATCTCGTCGGTCCAGTCCAGTCCAATCTATCTCAAGACAAAGAGGACTGGAACACAAGCACGCACACATGGGTGCAACAAACACACGTTTGGAGAAAAGTCAAAGCCAGAAAGGCACAGCGCAGACATAGCAGGGAAAGGAAAGAGAAGAGTAAGTTGTGGTGAGCGAGAGCAATACCAGCTCACTTACTCTCCCTCACTACCTCCCCCTACCACAGCACACCATGCCATACACTACCGTGTCATATCCGCCAGCAGAAAACAACTGACAGAAATGACATCCCAGCAGTAATCCAACCTCATCCTCAACTCCAAACATGTGCTAGTCAACTGGACGGATTCCGTTCTTCACCACCTCCACCACCGGCACCACCCTCACCAGCAACACTCGCGGTCTCACCATCCTTCCTGCGATCCTTCGATTGCGTGCGCACACGCCGCAACTGCTCCTCTTCCTGTTCGCGCACGCGCTTCTCTTCTTCCGCGGAGGGAATATATGCATTTGCAGCGCCGCCTGGATAACATTACAACCCATTGATTAGCTCATTGCCTTCATTGCTTGCTTTCCTCGAGGGACAAGTAACACACGGACTAAAGGGAGGTATAGGAGGTATAGGGGGAATTACCTCGGCCCATAAAGTGCGGTGCTTCTTCCACGCGCAACGGGGGCGACTCCACATCCTGCATTTCTCGGGCTATCTCGGGGTGTTCCGGATCATTGTGCATCATGTTACCGGAGCCGCCGCGACCGGTGGTGAAGATGTCTTGTTTGATGGTGGGGGTGACGAGGTCCTTTGGGGTGGTGCGGGATTCATTGTTGCCGGAGAAGATGTTGCCTATGTGGAGAACGATATCGCGTTAAAAGAAGGAGTTTATTTTTGAGTTGGGGAGAGAGAAGCTGGTGAAAGAGATAGTGCTGAACATACCTGCGCCGCCGCGGCCGTGGGAGATGTTTCTAGCGCCGCCCATTGTTGCCGAACAGGGGGGAGGGGAGGGGAGGGGAGGGCGGAGAGGATGCGATCGGGAGAGTGGGTTGAGCAGAGTAAGGTCGAAGTATGGGATGCGATTGATTGCGGAGGCGCAACGACGCAAGGAGATTTCTCGATCAGACAAAGAAAGAAAAGAAGATGATGAAGAGGAGGGGAGGGAAAGCACGCAATAGCTAACCCAACGATGATCAACACAAGAAAAAAGAGAGCTGGGGGAGCCGCAAAAGTGGCAAAGGCCCGCGAGCGAGCGAGAAAGAAAAGGCTGAATGGCGGCCAAGACTTTGATTTTGATCAAATGACGTCCTGCTTTGGGGCCGAATGACCGAGACGGTTTTTTTCATTTTTATCTTTTTTCTTTCTCTCCATTCCACCTCTTCCAACTGGGTTTCTCGGATCCTGTCATTAACATCTTCTCCATATAATTTTATCTTCCAGTTATTCATCCATTCAACAATTCTTCCTCCTATCCGTCTACCTTGGAGACCGCGTTCATATTCTCTTACCTCATGGGCAACGACCGGACCTGGAAGTGGAAACTAATTTAACTTACCTGACCCCACTTTTTCCTCTTTATATTACTATATTACCTTGGATTATGATTTTCCTATTCATTCCAGACGCCGACTGGAAACCTCCTGGAAAATTCTTCCTATTGTTCTTTGGATACTAGTGTCGTTTGTGGCATGTTATTGATTATGTCGTATTTTTGGTTGATTCATTGTATTGCTGCTGTGGCAGTAGGGCCAGGCTTTCCCCGCAGGGATTACTTTCTCTCTTAATGCTATTATCTCTCTGTTATTTGGAAAAGGATCATAGCTATGAGAAATAGGGTATTGTATAATACTACTAATCAATGGAAGAAGAATAATTGCATCATACATTAGTTAGGGATTATGGTTCCCCCGTGACTATTTCATCTATTGAGGGGGGTAGTTCGGTATTAGAAAGAGGAGATGGGCGATAGAGTATAGTACTAGTTCCAATATAATGCAATCGTTATACACAGTCAATTGTATAGTGACTCTATAATAACAAACCAAGGAAACCATTATGTATATATATACACACCATACCATAAACATTAACCCAGTCATGCGTGTTCATAAACCAGTGCATCCCATCCATGCCATGCGTTGCTGCATACAGCGTATATAAATCATGCCGAACCGTCCATCTGGAATAATCGATCCATATCCGTCTCGTACGCCTGCTCAAATCCCATACTCCAGACCCCATGCGCTCCCTTGACGCGATACGGTCCCTCCCACTTCCACGACTTCTTCTTCTCCTTGTACGAGACTGCTCCGACGTGCTGCATCTGCGACGGGGAGATGGCCAGTCGGTCCAGCTCGGCCCGCCCCGCCTGCATCTCAATCACGCTGTCCACCGCCTTGGTGGGGACCACGTCCTCCATGTGCTCGAAGTACTCCAGGAGGGCTGGAACATTCTCGCGATTGAAGAGAAGGGCCTGCGAGCAGCAGCCGTGCGCGTTCATTACGTGCACCCCATTCTGCATGGGGTACCAGGTCACCCGACCGGCCAGGAAGAAGAGGGTGATCAGTAGCGGCACGCAGAAGAAGCAGACTACCAACAGGAACGAGTTGGTGAGGATGCCCTGCGTAGAGCGAATCTTTCGTCGAGTGTACATGCCCGCACTGGCGCAAAGGGAGACCAGCAGCACACTCCAGGACAGGTAGATGGGCCAATTCTCCGAGTTCCAGCCGAGGAACTTCTCCGTGTAGAAGAGCCGCAGGTATAGCCAGTCCCTGATCGTATCGTGCCGGCGCCAGTCTTCTACCTGTTGAACGCTGCGCATAGTATGCTCGTACCAATCGCGCTGGGCCACAACGTCGTCTTCCAGCATGATGATCCACGGCGCGTCGGTCATGTCGTAGCATGCCTGTAGCCCGAGTCGGTAGTCAATCAGAGATTTCTTCTTTATGTTGTTCTTCTTCTCCAAGTTCATTATGATATACCCGGGCGCGTCGACATCGTCGTAGGTGAGCACGCGGTCAACGACATTTGATACCCATGTCTGGTTGTAGTCCGGGTGGTCGGAGGGTTTGCTCAAGGCAAAGAGCACTTGGACGGTCAGCGCGGCCCGCTGCTCCGGTGAAAGGGTATCAAGAATCGAAGCAATGGTAGTGTCGAGGTCCTGCTGCAGGGGACGCTTCACGGTGACGATGCCTACACAGGCAGTTTTCTCTCGCGGCGGGCTGACATGGGAGACGGGCCGGGACGGGGCAGCATCGGAGCGATTAAAGGCTGACAGCCACTCCAGCGATTCGTTAATACGCTGAAGACTGTATCCCGGGCGATAGCCTTCGGTGGGCTGGAAGAAGAACGAGCCTGGGTCACGGGCGGACCGAAAGTGACAGAGGACGACAAGGAAGAAAAATAGGATGGCGAAAGAGGACAGAAGCAGCCTCTGCTTTCTGTTGAAGTGATTGAGAGCCATCGGTCACATACTGGTTGGCAAACGATCAGGGAGAACGGAGGAGAGGATGGAGGGGAGGAAGGAAAAGAGGGAAAAGGAAAACAAAAGGCAGGACCGGATTGCGACAGCAGATAAGCCAGCAGCGGACTAGCAAGAGTTAGCTTGGAGCCATGATTCTGAGGCTTGCTGCTTTGGAGGTCCTGGGCCCTCAGGGTCTGCCCATCGCTTAGTTTGCTATTAGTCTTTGCTGGCCAGCTGATAGTCCGGCCGCTCTTCGTTTATCGGCCCAGTGGAGCGGTGGTCAAAACCCTGTGAGTTGACCCACGTCCGAGTAGCCAAGTTTTGGGATCGCGCTGGCCCATTGGCCGATCACGCGGTGGGCGCCAGGGCTGAGGCATGCTGCGTAAGGCATTATCCGAGTAGGGATTCGATAATAGGTGCAGAGTTGGGAATAGCGCCCAAAGCCATTGTGGATTTCTAGAGGGTCAATTGGCTGAGAGAGAGAGAGAAAGTCGGGATGACGATAAGAATAGGCTGGCTGGATGGCTTGCTTTGCTTGACTTTGCTTGACTGTCTCGGAGCGAAAGAGCGAAATTGCATCCCGCGCGGGCTAAAAAAAGCCTGCCCAGAAAAAGCTTAGCCTCAAACGGTGCCCGCCGCCAGAAGAAGAAGAGATGAGCAGAGAAGAACATTGTGGAAGAACATTAGGAAGGGGAAAATAATTGACACATTTCCTTGCATCCTCAGAAGTCTCATCATGACACAATCAACAGGGCAGTGTCAATGAAACAATTGATTTAGCGTCTGATGGCGAAGCAGTTTAGCACCACTCATTGTCTCAATTATTCTTGGTTTTGGATGGAGTCGGTTCTCGTATTGAACCCACTTCAGTGCGCTGTGCATGCCTCATCCTGCACTCTCAATTATCGAGTCCATCCTGCAGACTCGATCACATTAACATGCTCGACCTGTCAAGTACGTCAAGGTGATTAGGTAGCCTAGTCTGTTAAGCTAGGAGGTCAGCCTACCATATTTACTGTAGGGTGCATACCTCGGCATCAAGGGACCGGATTACAACATCCGTCAACTCTAACGGCACATCGGCTAACTAGTTAGTAGTTTCCTGATTACAATATCTGGCACATCTGACAGCTACAGCTATTCAGATCTTCATTTTGCATAGCTACTGAGGTGAACATAGCTCTTAGATCTCATGTTAGAACTGCGGGGTAAACTCACCACATTCACGGAGTAATAGCCGGACCTCGGCGCACATCATCCATCATCCATCACCAGCATACTTCTATAGTGTTTACTGAACAAACTCTGATAACCGAGTAATTGACTATGTTGCATGTTGGGACAGACTATATAAAGCAAGATAGTAAGACAAGGTGATCACTCGATAGCAGCATCATCACAACAATCAGTCCCAATCATCACCCATTTCAACAATCATCACAATCCATCATAATCATAACTACTATCAACATGTCCATCTCCCTCCCTCCATCCTACGAATCCCACCCAACATCCCACATCAAACTCTCCCATCACCCACCCAATACCCCCTCCCCCACCCCCGTCATCATCATCACCCTCAACCGGCCCGAGAAACGCAATGCCTTTACTTCCACCATGGCCCAGGAGCTCGAATGGGCCTTTACCACGCTTGACCGCGATCCCCGCGTGAAGGTGATAGTCCTCACCGGGAGCGGAGATACATTCTGCGCTGGAGCGGATCTCGAGATTGGATTCAGCGTAGGCGAGAAGGGGAAGAAGTTGAATTTGGGTGATTATCGCGATAGGTGGGTATCATATACCATCATTACTACGGACTTTGTCTATGACCCGTTGAACTCTCGAATTGAAGAAAGGAATAAGCAGCTAACTAGAGATATGAAAACAACAGCGGCGGCCGCGTTGCCCTCTCCATCCACCGCTGCCGCAAGCCCACCATCGCCGCAATGCAAGGATCCGCCGTAGGAGTCGGCATGACCATGACTCTTCCTGCGGCTATACGGTATTCCACTCCCATCTCCCCTCTTCCCCACCCTACGCACAACACCTAACAATATACTGCGGTATAGAATCGCCCACACCCCCAGCAAATACGGCTTCGTCTTCGCCCGCCGCGGCATAACCATGGAATCCTGCTCCAGCTACCTCCTGCCCCGGCTCATTGGGTACTCGCGCGCCATGTACCTCGTCTCCACGGGGGCAGTGCACCCGCCCACATCACCGCACTTTGGGGGACTCTTTGCTGAAACGTTCCCAACCAAGGAAGGGGTGGTGAAGCGGGCGGTCGAGTTGGCGAGTGAGATGGCCCAGCTGGTGAGCCCGATGGCCGGGGCGTTGAATCGCGCGTTGATGTGGAGGGCGCCGGGGAGTGTGGAGGAGGCGCATTTGCTGGAGTCGAGGGTTTTGGGGCATATGTTTGCTTCGCAGTAAGTTTTTTGTTCTTTTTCCTTCGGTGTTGATTGGTGCTGACAAGGGGATGCTGTAGGGATCAGAAGGAGGGTGTCGGGGCGTTCTTTGAGAAGAGGAAGCCCGAGTTCAAGTGTGATTTGGACGTGGATGGGCCGGGGAATTATCCTTGGTGGGGAGAGGTGGATATTGATCCGAGGAAGGAGGTCGAAAAGTCGAAGTTGTGAAAGGCAGAAAAAGACTAGGAGGCAACGCTGGCATGTAGATACTGTAGTAGAGAAGTGAACATATTCAATAATCATTTTTAAATCGCTCACTGATATGAATATTCGTACAAACAGGAAGTAGAGAACTCAATCCACGGGGTTCTCGAGAATGCCATAATAACAATCACTCAAAAGAAAAAAGAGGCATCCCATGCAAAACAGAACCACTAAACTAAACGATGAAATGACGTCTCTTGCGGTTATACGCCCGCTGATCCTTCAACCACTGGCGATAACCCTGCACACTACCGATCTTCTCACCATAGTAATCAGGAACGGGATTAGCAATGGAGTTGGACGAGGGGTCGACACGGAAGCGTCTAATGCGGTCGAAGAATTCCTTCTCTTTCTATACACATACACAACCCAATATCAGTATCCACACTTCTTCTCAATAGCAACTTAAGTAAGGGAAAGGAAAGAAACTTACCACCATAACAGCAGGCTTATATCTCCGATAAACCAACCCCCAAACAGCATTCCCTACAAACGGACCGACAAGCCAACCCGCCGCACCGCACGCCGCCGTTGCCATACCCAGCACCACAAACGGATCAAGACCCATGACCTGCGCCCCGAGGGACTCCAGATCCTGCGTCGAGAGAACCTGCACACCAATGACCGTGGTGAACAGGGAGCTCACGATCGACGAGGCGAGCGAGTACCGGCGGCGGCTAGCGCGGAGTTTGAAGAACGAGTCCCAGTCGAGACGGACGGTTTCGCTCTTGGCAGCGGCGGCGGCAGAGGAGTTGGCGCGGCGGAGAACCAGAGAGCTCGGGAGCTGCGTTGTCGTCGTCGAGGGACGCAGAGCTGTGGTGGGCTTCAGGGTCTGTGTGCTGCGGACTCGCATGGAGGAGGTGCTTGCGGTCCGGGTCTGAGAGAGCGCTTGATACAACGGGTTGGTGCAGCTGCTGGGGTGGGCGAAGGGGCCCAGCGTCTTGGAGGTGAGGCGTCCGCTCAGCATGGCGGTACGCATCCCGCTAATCGAGGGGGCGTGCATGGTGGATGGATGTTGGGTTGGAAGTGGTAGGATGTTGTGGTGATGGTGGTTTGATTGATTCGTTCTGAAGTTCGGCGGGTAAAGCTGGGGATTATGTAAGCGGGACTGAGACATGACCTCATTGGGAAATGCCGCGGTAAATATGGACTATACAGAGCGGTGCTTGCTTTGAGTGATGAGTGCTAAAAGATATATCTATTGCGTTCAGCTTCTGCTAAAAACTACAGTGCTTATAGAAAGCTCATTGGCACGAGAGTGGAATATGGCATTGAAATACTGCAATGTTCGAGGCATTACTATGGTCGCTAAGCAAACCAACAAAATCGTGAAGCAGATGAAAAATGCATGTCAGAATTAGGTGTACAAATAAGAAAATCCCGCCATGTTGCATTTCAATCACCACCTATATTGGTGGTGCGTTGTAGAAGAGAAGACCCGCTGGTTGTGATCGGTTGATCTGGTGCTTGAATAGGATGCGAAGATGAAGATTGCAATACCGATATTGGGAGAGCAGCGGATTGAGACCACTACTAGGGGGTTCGAGTAGTTTCTCTGAAGGAAGATTGGGCCGAAAATCTAAGGACTGTAGAAGGCTTGAATAGGCTGGTTGTTTGGCAGACACTATTTCTGTTATGTAATTTGCTCTTGGTGTTGAATGAGCTCGGCTATAAAATGCGGGGGTCCAGAGCGCTTGCGGGGTATCGAGTCTAGTGGTTGAAGAAAGAGATGCGTAATATTGTATGGTATATCTCGGGAGTAAAGGACTCGTATATATCGTATTAATTGGCTGAAGTGTTAGATGCTGGTAACAAATATGATCGCTTCTATACCTTGGCGGGTTATATCTCGTCTGAATCAGTAGGTCCACCGTCATACCCTGCAACTCAAGATATACGATTAGATACTGCCGTTGCTTTTGATCGCTCCAGGACGAGACTGGGCTTTGGCGCTCGTTCCGTATCCGTTCACGCGGCCATAGAGCCATTTGAGGGTTCCCGTGCTCAGCGCCATGACAACGGCGCTCAAGGCGAAGAGTCCAACGCGACCCTCAAATCCTACAGCATCGAAGACGGGGTAAGGATACCTGTGCGGTCAGTAAGTCGCATCTCCATAAAGGCAAATACAAGACGTACCATCCGTTGAACTGGAAGCAACGCTCGATCCAAAACCAGTATCCAAAAGCGATTGTACTGGACAGAGCTAGTGCAGGGAGAACTGTAATCGTCCAAGGAGGGGAAAGGAGAAGAAGGTCAATCAGTAATACAATCGACGGTACAGCATGGAAGCCGACATCTTGCACTCGATATTAGCAAGATGAGACCTCAAGTAGATCCGAGTCCGACTCACCGGCATGCATAGGAAGTATCACCCAATCAGGAACAACCAAACGCTTGTCGATCTGTTAAACAATTAGATGGCATTCTAATCGTCCATGAGGAAAGTAATTACCAGACGGAGCCCCCAGTATAGGATGCTGATCAACACTTCCATTGGAGCGCTGCATACAGAAAGAAGGTTCTTGGCTAAAAATAGCCGAGCCGATAACGTCATATCCGCCAGCAGACCGGCGGTAAAGGTGAGCGTGGCCAGCGTCAGCCCAATGACGGTCAGGTACTGGAAATGCCAACCATATGCTTCATTACTGTCAGGAAGGGTCAATCAGCATCCTGGTTACTCCAGGCCAAGGACATGGGGAGCTTACGCCCTATTGGGGTTCTCGTGCATGCTAGAGAACGGGTTGGTTAGTGGGCGGGCCGAGCACCGGGGAGCACGAGCTGTAGCGGAACTCAACGTACTACTTGAACGAGAAGAAGAAGCTGGCAAGACCAAGAGACTGCCATGGGGGAAAGAAACATCAGCCCAAGGAACGAGCGACCGACACGGATAAGTGCTCACATGGACCAAGGCCGAGAAGCCTCTAGACGGGCTGGACAGGCGCTGCAGGGGATGTTTCCGCTGAAGCGACCGAATTGTTGCAGAAGACGCCATACTGGAAGCGGGATAGAGGTAGAAAATGGAAGGACTTCGATTAATTAGAAAGAGAGCTCGGTTACAACAACCCGGACACTTTGCAATCACTGCCGAAGAGGCATTGAATAAGAGAGATAGGGATCTCACTAATGCAATGATCTAAAGAGCTGGCTAGGATGCCCGGCTATTCCGGGGAGGCCTTAGTAACCTGGGGCAGCTAAGCCTGACGGGGTAAAGCTGGGCACAGCTGAACAACAACCGAACTGGGCAGACCGCCGTGAACCGGAGAAACCCGCCGCCCGGACCAGCTGGGCTCTTGGCTTATCAGGCCGGTCTGATTGATGGAGACGGCCGATGGCCTCCCCCCCACTGACTGGTTATCGGCTGGGCTTGAAGACTGTTGACTGGCTTGTCTTCTCCGCCGGTCTCGTGTAGCATGTATCTTGGTTCGGTGATTACTTCCACTCCTCCCCTTCTTTTCTTCCTTCACTCCAAAAGTCCTAAATCTCGCTGGCTTTTGCTTCTTATCCTCGAACAACAATAGCGTCACCCTATACCTTCCCTAAATTCTTGGCTACTCTTCAGCTTGCAAACGGAGTCGATCGACTAGTAGGGTTGCTGTCAAACCACATAGATTACCGTGGATTCTTCCCCACACCCCGATGAGTACGAACAACGGGTGTGGGTGTCTTGTCGATTATCGTTTCTTATCGTCTTGGGTGAAACGCCCTACACGCAGGAAAAAAGCCATCTTCAGCCTCTTGTCTAGATCGTGATCGCTGTTTCGGTCTGTATGGCGATCTTACTCTGCAAGGTAGATCGGAACCATCTCAGATTCCGGACCATTTATCGCTGTGGTCGCGATTGCTGTTTGTCGGATTTAATCCCTCAGCCAGATCGGGTGTGAACTTCCATGCCTCGCCCCAGAAGACCCGGCGCGCCAGAGCCGAAACGACGATCACGTAAGGGCTGCTGGTGAGTTTGCCAGGATGCCAATTTACCAATAACCTATCATTAACCTGTCCCAGGCCTTGCAAAGCCCGAAAGGTGAAATGGTTTGTCTAATGCCCAGGCCTTATTTAGTTTGCTATCAGAATTGCTCTTCATTAAGACCGTTATGCCATCACATTTAAAGTTGACGACGAAAGCTAATTTCTATGCAGTGGGGAGGAGAAGCCATCGTGCCTCAACTGTCGACGCCAGAATGAACCATGTGACTATAGCATCAGGTTGAATTGGGGCGGGAGGACACGGAGAAAATCTTCTGTAGACTCCCCCAGCTCTCAGTCCAGTAGTCCGTCGGGCCACTATGCCACCTTCAGTTTCTCGCCCTCAAACCAATTTCATCCGGATGCCCCGAGTCCAGCCCAGCAATTCACGCCTATTTCCATTCGAGACGGAACGACTGCGCCGGATCAAGCTACAGGGGACTTGCTATGGGATGTCGGACTTGCAAGGGGTATGGAAATAGGAACATCCACAACCAGTCCTAAAGGATTACTTGATATCCTCCATGAATCTCCGACTGCCTTTGGCCAGTTAAATAATGAATCCAACTGTACAAATGGCAAGACCTCTGTAGACATGGGAGCTGCGTCGCAAGAACAAGAAGCGACCACCCCATGGCCAGACCTGTCCCCCGATTTAGCCACATCGTCGTCGAGCGAGACTCTGCTCGCTTTCTCCCCGCCTGCACCCCAGTCGCTGGACACCATCTCATACCCATCGCCTACGGATACGAACTCGACAGTCGGTTCATTCGCGGCTTTCGCCTTTTCCTCTGCCACGATATCGGGGCCCATCTCATTTCTCCGGCATACATCGGATCTCCATCATTCCCCGCCCGACTCTAATCACATGCCCGATTCTCGTACTGAGTTTTCTAGCTATTCCTCGTCTACGGATGTGATGAGCATCTATGCAGACTTCAATTCACATGCATCATCTTCTGCTCAGAATGCGGCATCGCCAGGGTCCGCAGAAGCAAGTTTGCTTTCGTCAGGATTGGCTCACGAGGCCCCAGCGCTGCAGGCGGGTCCAGCCGTCCATACGGAGAACTTCTTCAGCAAGATTATGAACGATCCGCTGCATCCTGATAGCCAATCCGATGGGGGTTATTCTCGCCCAGGATGCGTTTCCCATGCTGCTGACGGTGCGGGTCAGAACCTATCGGAACCAGAGGACGTTTCCATGTCGGAGAAGAGGTGGCAGGCTTATCTGACCAGGGTCACGGACAATTACGGGTTGGATTGCGGGCGCCCGGATCTCGATCTCAACAAGAACGACGATCATTCCGCCATTGACATCAACTATGCATTGGACCTGTTCAACGCGGACAGTCAACCTGCTTCCACTTCGACCTCGGAAGGTTCGCATACAGGTAATGCGAAGTACAATGGATCTGACTGCAACAAGCGTGGCTACTATGTATCGCCAGTACCAATAAACATACCGCGGTATCTCTCGCCTTTGCCACCGTCACTCGTGAAGACGCCGATCAACTTGATGTATTTCCACCACTTCCTCAACCATACTGGCCGGATGCTGGTTCCTCATGATTGCGAAAATAACCCGTTTATCTCGGTGTTACCGACCAGTACGTACCATTAGTTGTTGACCCAACCCAGCGCATTTACTGACATGAATTAATCAGTGGCGATTGGCGACTCTAATCTTCTGAATTTGATGCTGGCATATTCCGCTAGTCATCGGGCGCGGTATTTGGGCCATCCTGAGCCCGCAACCCGGATCGCACACTGGGTGAGCAATGTCTTTCCCACTCTGCGCTTAGCGCTTGAAGATCCCCGTGAGAAGGTGACCGACAGTCATCTGGCGACTGCAATTATGCTCCTTTCTTTGAAAATCATCTCTCCCAGCACGTTTGAAGTGCCCATTCCATGGCAGAGTCACTTGAAGCTTGCTCGGGACCTGTATTTGGCACGACAAGAGCAGATGTCATACCCTGGAAACCGTGTCGGCGCATTCCTCGCGCGCTGGCTGGGGTATATTGATCTCATGGGCGCCCTGTCATGCCGACAAAGTGGACCACCACTGTCTGCATATGATTCTGTCTTGTCCATATGCTCCGATGCAGGACCGCAGGGCGAATATTGTGTCGACTGCTTCAGTGGGTATACACCAAAGACGGGTCTATTCCTAATGCGGCTGGGAAGATTAACTCACGAGTGTGATAACGAGCGTTTTGACGAACACGGAGTCTTTGTCCCGGACTGGGAACCATCGCCAGATGTTGTTTTTGAAGCCGAAACCTTGATAGCGGATCTCGGCGTTCTGGACACCTACGCCTATGCTGATGCAACACACTTCGGTCTGGGCAAGACGGATTTCCTAGCCACTGACCGGGCCTTTCACTATGCAGGACTATTGCACCTTCATCGTCGGGTGCTGAATGCGTCACCCTTCTCTGATGCGGTTACGGGGGCCGAAAGGGAGCTCTTCAAGGCAATAGGCGACATCCGGCAGAGTGCGTCTGCAGAGGTCGGAGTGCTGTTCCCGTTGTTTACTGCGGGTTGTGAAGCCCGGGATTCTGCGCAACGAGCAGAAATCCAAGAGCGCTTCGATTTCCTCGAAAGAACAGGAATGAAACAGGTGAGTCGGTAGTTATCCACGCATTAGCCATGTCTAACTTTGCCACTAGATGCAAAGCGCTCGCACGCTAATGCAGCGATGCTGGTCCGAAGACTTGCCATGGATCGCATTGGCCCAGGGCGAATTTCTAGGGTAGCCAGGCAGATTGACCTTGTACATCTTTTCTTGCTCATAAGTCACTACTATCGGGTGAAGAGCATATGTCGTACCTGCGGGGTGTGTCACGCTGATTGCGCTTATTTCATGTAAAGCGGTCGCAGACAGCAGGCCTGACTCTATTGAATATACTATGTACATATCGAGAGGTCGTTGAGGGAGGGTCACTTGTAGAAGCCATTGGTCTTTGATGTTCAGTCGCTCCTCACACATGCAGTACTGCTAGGTACCCATGGCATGCTGTATACTCAGGAATAATGCACGTTTGGTTTCCTGCCCTGATGGCGACACAACCATCTCAGATCTCTCTCTCTCAAAGCTTTCTCATCCAGCTTAATAGAGTATCCTAATTGCCCTCTAGGCTTGACCACTTTCAACTCACTCTACCTTCCACGGCTGTTGGTAGCAATTTGCTAGTAGTCCTTTGAAGTCTACTGCGCTCTCAATCCTCACCTAACCTACAATATTCCCTCTTCCACAGCTCTTGGAACCGATCTGCTAGCAATCCTATATAAAGGCCATCGATCCTTTGATCCTCTTCCAACCTACATAATCTCCTCATCCTCGCATAAAATACCTTGACTGTCTGAACAAAGGGAAGGTTGCTAGGTGACGAAGCTCTTCACCAAGTTGTGGCGCTCGAGAACTTCACAACACACCTACTACCAGCGCCACTTCCCAAAATGGAAGGGTGCCCCTCCCAGCCATACCAGAATGGGCCCCAGCGTGACTCAGGGACCATCCTAGTCCTGTTGCTTATAACCATAGTGTTTCTTTGCTTTGTGGTCTACCGCATAGAATCTTATGTATTCATAATGCTTCAGACGATCGAGCGGGGAGACATGGCTCACAAAAATGAAAAGAACAGTCTCCAGATGGAGCGGACCGCGCTGGCTCCAGTGAATCCATGTGCTCAGAACAGTACTGCTCCGCTCTCCAGTCTCCTCGACAGCGGGCTTGACGACATCAAAGTCCCCAGCCTACAGCCACTGTCACCTATCAAAAAGTCTTCCGTTATCCGGATCACAATTCAGAAGCAGCCTACAGAGAGAGCGACGAGCCTGCTCATTGACCAGCACGTTGACAGTCTGTCTATTCCCGTGCTGGAACCCCAGAAAGTGAGTCCTAGTTCCGGTGCAGCTACCACTATATCCCAGGTCCAACTGCCATGGTTAACCCGCCCGGTGTGTGTTAAGAAACAGCCGTTCGTCACGATGAAACCACCAGTGCTTGTGCCGTGGGATGGTACAATCAGATGGGCCCTCGCAGGATGCAGTGTCTTTGAGAACACGGACGAAGAACTCGACGCGTTGCTGTATCGCCCGAACATTGTCAGCAAAGGATCTCCAGCTGAGCTCTGGATGTTTCAGTTCGGTCTGCGCTATATACCCGCTGAGAGTGACAGAGATGTATACCGCGCCGTCACTATTGAGAAACTACCATCAGATGTGACTCTGCAGCAACTTTTGCCTTTGGTCCACGGTGAAATCTATTCAGCGCACCTCCTCGATACTGTATCTATCACAGGGTCTAACACCGCTTTCATTGCCTTCGTTACCCAGGCAGATACTTTTGACTTCCTTGAAACTTCAGGCGGAAGTCTCGCCCTGGGAGCGACACAGGCTAAAGTGACCCTAGTCTCGACTCCAACATATCCTATGACGGCTGGTATGGCACGGCTGGTTTTCGAAGAGGGTCATACGCGGTGTGTCTGTATATCTGGTGTGCGGGACACTTTGAAGGCAGAAATTCGTCGGGTCTTAGGCCGGTCGCCGTACTTGGACTATCTTGAACGGATCGAAGACGGACAGGCACTCGGGGAGGTCTATGTTCGGTTTCACTCTATCAAGGTGGCTACTGCCGCCTATGGGCTTTTGAAGAGTCATCCGAGCTTCCACGAGTTTAAATTTCGGTTTCTGGGAGCAAGACCTTCGGCGCGGCGATCCCGAATTGGGATTTGGGATTGAAGAGCAGTCTCGTCTTCCCGTGCGTCTGTACAGTAGATAGCCTTTATATCGTTTTATTGCTGGCGTTAATGGAAATCTTCCAGTAGCAATCGAGCCTTGGTAAGCTGGTAAGCAAGTAAGCAATGCCTAGAACTTCCCCGCGTGGGGGCGGGTCTCCAACATTCCTTAGCCGAGCTCTACCCCGGCCGTGACCCATCCACAGTAACCACCCCCATTATCCATTGCCATTGATCCGGGTGCACTAAGAAAACACAGCATCTCAGATGTCATTATTCGAACTGAATGCGGAAGTGAACTTCATCGCCGTGCTAGCGCATTCCACGGTAACACATACATAGCCGACTCAGACATGGTAGTCCTTGCTTCATGCTGTGCAGACATCCACCGCGGGGAATAACCCTTCGTTTGGGCCCGACTAACTTTTGGGTTTCCTCCTCCAGTTAATCTCGGGCCAATAGACCTCACGCACACCCTTGGCGATCACCATGATTGGTTTCTCGTTGGGTCCTTTTGTGCTGATCGGTCTGTCTATCCTCGCTTCTTGACCCTAGATCCTTCGCGAAGAGCATCGTCATTCAGCTGCAGCTATGATCACGATAGGATTACCAATTGCCGGAAGCCCACCCTTTAAAATGCTACTGGCGCCTCCCCTCCTTTTCTTCACTGTTCCTCCCTAGTGTCTCAAGTCATTGCTTTCTGCCCGCTCCTCCTCTTTGTCCATCTGCCACGAAACATCATTATGGCGCAGGTCGACGAGAAACCAGCGTTAAACAATTCCTCACGGGGCGTGGTGGATACAGAAAAGGCTACTACTGTCCACGGTATACCAGAGGAGTCGCAACTGGACTTTCTTGATGATCCGGATGAAGGTTTGAGTGAGGAGGAAAAGGCAAAGATCGTGAGTAACCTCCCCTGGTCAACACCAACAGGGATGATGAGCTGGACTAATGCAATTGCCAGGATCGTGCATTACTGTGGAAACTTGATTTGCGGCTTATCCCGTGGTTGAGTCTGCTGTACCTGATTTCCTTTTTGGACAGGTGTGCACAGTTACCCCAATGATCGTCGTAGGAAATTAATCGTGGCTTAAATAGGACGAATGTCGGCAATGCAAAGCTCGCTGGTCTCCAAGGGGACTTGCATATGACCAACTCGCAGTACAACGACTCCTTGACCATTTTCTTCGTGTCATACGCGATCTTCGAACCTATCACCAATGTTCTCCTCAAGCGCTGGCGGCCTAGCGTGTTTATTCCGATTATAATGGTAGTATGGGTATGGATAATAAAGTCTTATGCAGGTTGACTTGCGCTGATTTTGGGACAGGGCATATGCATGACTTGTATGGGACTCGTACACAACTTCTCTGGGATCATGGCGGTGAGTGTCTGCATACATATACTATCTTCAAATAAAGGAATTCACGCGGCGCAATTGATATCCCTGCTGACGGTAGTAGGTGCGATGGTTCCTTGGTCTGGCGGAAGCCGGTCTCTTTCCTGGCGTCGGATACTTCTTATCCTGCTGGTACAAAAGATCCGAATTCGGCGTTCGCATGGCCATCTTCTTCTCCGCCGCTGCTCTTGCGGGGTCGTTCGGCGGATTGCTCGCGGCTGCGATTGCCCTGATGGATGGCATTTGAGGCAAGGCGGGCTGGTCTTGGATCTTCATTCTTGAGGGTCTGCTGACGATCGTCATCGGCGTGCTGTCTGTATGGATGGTCTACGACTTTCCGGACCAGGCCAGATTCTTATCCGAACCGGATCGCAAGCGTGTACTGCGTCGTCTGGCAGCTGACAAGCAAGCCAGTGCTGCGTACGAGAAGTTTGAGATGACGTATTTCTGGAGCAGTCTGAAGGACTGGAAGACCTATCTCAATGCGATCATCTACATGGGTTCATGCATGCCGCTATATGCATTCTCCCTATTTACCCCCACTATCATCAATGAGCTAGTATGTCCTCCACAACCTGAGCATATTGCACAGCACTAACAATAGATAGGGTTTGTTTTGATACTCCTGTGATTCGGTAGGGATCTAACCGGCGCAGGCTATACCGCGATTCAGGCGCAGCTTCTCAGTGTCCCGCCTTATGCCGCGGCGGCTATCGTCACTGTGGCAGTCGGGTTCATCGCAGATCGGACCGGCCAACGTGGCATCTGCAACATTGTGGTGTCAATCCTCGGTATCGCCGGGTTCTCCTTGCTTCTTGGGGCGAGTTCTGCAGGGGCACGATATGCAGGGGTGTTCCTGGGCGCCATGGGTATCTACCCAGCGATCTCGAACACCATTTCCTGGGCCAGTAACAACGCAGAGGGTATGCATCTCTATTGAATAGTGGATAACCATGGCTGACTGTGGCAGGTGTGTACAAGCGCGGTGTCACGCTGGGTATTGTCATTGGCTGGGGCAACCTGAACGGCGTCGTGTCGTCCAACATCTACCGCGGCGGAGACGCGCCTCAGTTCTATCCGGGACACGGGGCGGTGCTGGCATATTTAGTGCTGTTTCTGTTTGGCGGATCAGTAGTGCAGTATGTCCTTCTCCGACGGGAGAACGCGAAACGTCGTCGGGGCGATCGAGACCACTGGATAACAGGACTGGAGAGACAGGAGATCGAGAAGCTTGGAGACAAGCGGCCAGACTTTATATACACGCTGTAGCTGCTATACCCAATCAAGACCAAACAACATCTCCACTCAGCTTCCATCAATCCAAAGTCTATATATATTCTTCTCCTCTGACTGTTCAAACCGCATCCCGCAAGGTATAATAATTCACAATATCCTGATCCTTCTTCGGCCCCTTGACCACATGTCTACTCGCCCAACTAACCACCTCCCCAATCCCATCCCCCACCCCCATCCCCCTTCAGCACCCGAAACGCATACGCCGTGCGATACATATCATTAATACAGAGATGATTTCCCCTCGCCGTAACCACCACCGTCTCTCCCCCAGCAGCTGGCGGCACCGGCGCACTCACATACTCATCATCCTCTTCCCCTTCCCCTTCCCCACTGGTAGATGTATCTGATGTATCCGTATGAAACTCCATCCCATGAAACAAATAATCCGCGACCTTCTCATCCCCTACTTTCACAAACCACACTGACAAATCATCCTTGACTGTAGATGTAGATGGAGTTGATAACCTCCAAATATAAGACTTCTTCCATTGCAGATTATGACCGATATGTGCGGGGAGGGTGCCGGTCTCGGTATAGAGGAGTTGGCGCTGCGGGGGAGATTGTGGTTGTGCGGTGGTGGTGTCAAGAGGAGTGAAGGATGCGGTGCCGTGCAGGTTGCCGTTGATGTCGTGCGGGTTTGCGCTTTTGAGGACGCGGAGGAGGGTCCATTGTTTTTGGGGGAGGGAGGTGAATAGGTGGGTGAGGTTGAGGGCTGGGGTTATTGTTGTCATTGTGGGAGCATGGTATGGTTTGTATGTGATGTGTAGATTTGTGGTAGTGTGGTGAAGAGAGGAGAAGGGGATGGAGTGACGGAGGAGGAGGAGGGGAAAGAGGAAGAAGGTCGGGTGGGGAGCTGCGGGAGGTGTGGATTGTGACCCACTGAGCTAGTCTTGGATTAATACACTTAGTATTGATCTAGCATTAATGGAGTGAGGTTGGTGTTCTGGGGTTTATCTTTGTTTGATCATTATTAATGAGTAATGTTCACATTGAGATGAATGTACATCTTCGCTTGGTATATTGAGGTCAGATGGTTTGTTGGTTGGGCTAGCAGCACACCTGATCTGATGAATTCCGGCTTCGGATCTATCCGCAATCCCTGCCCTCTATCTATCTAGTCGCTAACAAATCTCTAATATAGTCCTGTACAGAGTACACGGGTTTTAAAGGCTAACTCCAAAATTGGCGAGCTCTCCTCCCGCAGCAATCAAATCCTGTGTGTATTCTCTGCTAATCTCATTTTCTCTACAGAGCAGACACACACCTCTACTCCCTCCGCGCTCAAGACTCGAACATACAATCAAAAACCAATGCATCTAAAGATGTCTGCGAGAGAACAAGACGAAGATTTTCCTTCATTATTTTTATATGATTATCTTTTCATCCACCCATATGGACCGTAACAGCGCATCTTGCTCCAAACAAGCATACACTCATCCACTGACGCAACTACCCCAGCAACACCGTCTCACACCACCCTAGTTCGGCCTAGGCTGATTCTGCGGCTTGCGGTCCTTGTGCGGCTTGTCGCCGTGAGGCTTGGGCTGGGGCTTCGGACCATTGTCATGCTTCGGCTGGTCCTTAGGAGGTTTCGGACCATCGCGCTTGTGGTTGTCCCCATGTGGAGGCCTAGGATCTTTAGGAGCGGGGCCCTCCTTGTGAGGCTTGGGCTTGTGTGAATCGTGGGGTTGAGAGTTGACTTTCTTAGGTTTGGGTGCATTGTCAGGCTTGGGACCGTCCTTTGGTGGCTTCGGTCCATCATCGCGCTTCTGTGGGGACTTGGGGTCTCTGATATGGGCCCCGTCCTCAAGAGATTGAGGCTTGGGCTTGGGCTGATGGTGAGGTTGGGGACCCTTCTTGGGCTTAGGTGCGTCAGGCTTAGGCTCATCCTTAGGAGGCTTTGGCCCGTCACGCTTGTTGTTGTCGTGGGGTCTGGGAAGAGGGGGGTTAGGAGGAGGGTTGGGGTGATGATGAGGTTGGACATCAGTAGGACCTGAAAGTGTTAGCATGCGGGTATGTGAAATTGTTGCAAGACATACGTGGAGCAGGAGGGGCAGCGGCAACCAGGCCGGCTACCATCAAGGTAGAAAGAACGGCAGAAAGCTTCATTGTGATGAACAACAGGAAATGAAGAATATGGAAGAATAAGAAACGCCAGTTTTCTTGATGTTCCAGTGATGATGTTGCTGATGAGTTGATAGCCGGGCTTCGACGTCCCTTTTATACCTTTCGAGACACGCCCATTCGGAGCATCATCGGCCTCTCAAACAGTCATTTATCAATCACGCAGGGAAACTTCGCCCGGTATTCTCATCCGGATATGCTACGTTTGTCTCTAAACTGAATAAACTTTCGCGTCTACCGAACCATGGGCCTGATGTATCAGCCCTGCCGTGTTTCAGCATCGCATCAAGTTTGCAGAATTTTGATCGGGATGGAATCAACTACCATATACACCATCCGAAAATCCTTCGCTCAACCACAATGTTGGTCAATTTGTAACGACCAGCAGTTTCGTCTCTGATAGACTGGCCTCAAACTTCTCAGGAGCTCTGTCCTAAAATTGGGTGCAGGTGCGGTGCACATGCTGTGTTCCTCGGGTTCTCGGGCCGGCAGCCCTCGTCGATCACGAAGCTTAGCATTTAAGTGTCGATCAGTTGCTTGGTTTTAGTGGTTCTATGAGTCGACGGTATGATAGGCAGGCGTGGTGATAAATCTACTACAGGCGGTTTGGCATACTGTAGAGTAGCCCCTACCAAGAGTATCATACTCTGCATCACCAGTAAGTGATGGTAAATATTCCTACTATTCCAATGGGCGTATACCTGCTTCGTGTACGAACATCTAACTTTTATACTTCTCCACATACTTCTCTTAAGCTGATACCCCTAGCGTAAATTTGACTACCGGATAACCTTATATCCACCTCTTCAGGAGGGAGGATCTAGACCTCTCGACCAGTCCCTATTCCCGCCGGTGAAGGGTTTTTTTTCCATCTGAAACACTCACACAAATAATCCTTATACAGTAACCGAGCCTATCCGGATACATCCAACACTGTATATCAATCTAGAACCGAACAGGCGGACATACCTAATATATTAGGTATATGTCCGTGCCCACATAGGGGTACTCATTCCCGGTCTGTGTCATTGGGAAACTTTGATGACAAGAGAGTCTAGGTTGTTTTCTTCAGGAATGTGCCGTGCAATCATAAATAGCGATTACTGCTTGTTATAGGTTTCATCACGACCAAACCCTTCCAATTAGAAAAAAAGCCAATAACATTCTCAAGCATATCCATATTGTGCTTCGTGATAATTGACCCCTGGCAGCGTAGAAGTATGCTTACTACATCTGTCTAGAGAAGGAAACAGCATACGAGACAATCCTACGCTTCAAAGCCAAGAATAATACAAAGACAACGAACAATGCCAAGCAACAACTCCACCACCCAGATAAAAGTAGTACCCCTCCGTGATCGGCGTTCGCGAACCGGACCGTGAGTCAAAAGACACTTGGCTAAACTTGGCATCATATAGTGAGACGGATACAAAGTTTGGTTGAAGGGGAGAGACGAGCGGGAGAGGTTTGATTCTAATATGCTGATCCTTCCCTGCTTAGTTAACTTCTATGGTTCTTGAGCTAGGTTGTTGGGATATCGGATGTATATCATATAGAGTCCTAGACATAAGGGGTTTCATATGAATAGATAGTCCCGTCAACCCTTTTACTCGGTATAGACAGACAGCCCTCTAAAATTCAATACTAGTAAGGAACAACCGGTAAAAAAGTCCATCCAGCAGTCGAGATATAACCCAAAGATGCAGAGACCCCCGAACTCGGTATGATCACACTGACACAGGAACAGTTTTGGTTGAGTCTCCTCCTTTCCAAGTTCTCTGGAACAGGGATGTACAGCTGCCGCAGATCTACCTTTCCCCTTCGTGTCGAGGAAACATTCCAGACTCTCCCATCCTGAGGGAATAGGAGACAAAAGACGAAGAAAGTCTTCTCGTGTACTTCCTTTGTTCTGAACGTAGTACAAAGCTTCGCTTACTACTATAGTAGCAGTGGCAGAATGTTATTAGTTGACCGCCCTGTTTACCGCTCTAAACGGCAGAACCTAGCGAACCTCGCTCTGAAAACCTCGGATTTAAGCGGATTTAGGAGCATACAGTCCCCAAAATGCTCTCACTGGATTCTGTATGTTTTTTGACCGCTTTTGGAAGGAGGTGGCAGAAAATGGTCGCTGGTATAACCTCGTTATAGTATGAGGGTAGTCGATTCGTCTGGATATTATTCATGCCATTTCTTTTTTCTTTTCTCTTTTTCGTTTTTTCGATTATGATGTCTTATTCAGTGTTCGAAAATGGACTTATGATATTATTGTCTTGTACAGCTTGGTTTATCGGGTTTTCTTCGTTGATTAGTTGGCTCCTACATTAGTATATCACCAGGGCTTCTTCGGTCATATCATTTACATGCTCATATGATTTCTGATGATAACATTGTGATGATGGGAGTGATACTTCTTATATAGGGGGTTTTCACTCTAATTGTTCACCCTGTGGTTGTCTTCATTGAAGAAGCCTATTCAGCTATTGCTTGTTGCGCGACCGAACGCAAATTTCCAATTGTTTTGATATCATATGCCCTTGTTATAATGAACAGATTATAACGGCCAAGCAATTGTAGATGACAGTAAAATCTTTGACTTCTGAAGATATCAAGGCTCAATTCAATCAAGTGCAGACCTAGCGGTTGCAGGAGCAACCTATTGCTCCAGGCTACTAGACAAAGCCCATCGGTCGATTAATGCAGCATGTGCGGGGATCATGGCGTGCGCAAGAACCCCGCATGCCACCGCCGTCGATCCATCTCTATCCTTAATTCTTTCAATTCCCATGATAGTTCATTTTGGTATTCCAACATCAAAAGCCGTCCAGTCATGTCGTCACAAAAGGTTTATCTCGACCATTTGCTTCTTCAATTCAGCAAGATCGAGTTCGAGTCGCCTTCGAAATGGTTGACTGATCACTTTACTATCATTGAGGGCGGTACTCATGCGGGTAAGATATTAATATCCCTCGTTTATCGGATAAGATCTTTTGCACATGCTTATCACTGGCAGGTGGTCTGAGTCGCAACAAATTGATCATCTTCCCCGACGGCACTTATCTGGAACTCCTAAACTGGATCAACAAACCAGAAGATTGGAGAGACCGACCGGGCGATTTTGCGCTTACATCTTTAGCACCAGTCTCGGCCGAAGATAACCATGACCGTATAGTCAAAGCGCTGAATACCATCTCTGATGATAGCCTGGGGGTGACATACTCACAGCCGATCGATGGAGGACGTCAGACGCCCAGTGGGGTTGAGATTCGTTGGAAACTACTAAAGGCACTTTATTCCGATACAAAATCAACTACGCCAGATCTTCATCCCAGAGGCCGCACAGATGCACCCTTCTTCTGCCATGATGTCACGGACAGGGTTCTTCGCGTCCCGTATGATCAGTCTTCTATCGTTGATCACCCATCAGGCGCGACGGGGATTGCGGGCATCGAGCTGCTCGTGCCTAAAGATAAGCTGCAATCCTATGTGGCCACTTATACGTGCATAGTGGGAGCATCCCCGCGCTTGTCCACTACCGAAGCGGAGTTCGAGCTCAGAGCGCCGGGTTCCCTAGATTTCTCCGGGGTTCTTCGCATTCGGGCTGCAACTTCGGAGAATGATGATCAATATCTGCGGGAGAAAGGGATTGGCATTTCATCTCTGATAATCCGATCGAAAGCTATCGGGGATTTTCTCTTTCCTGTATCAGATTATCTGCATTGAGGCGCTCGTGCTAATCCGTGTATGTACCAATGCAACTTGGAACTTGAATCTTCGATAAGGAACTAGTCAAAGAGAGGAAATGATCAATCAACATCAGTGTACTGCAGTCGCAGATCTCAGTCCATTGAGAGAAATCATGATGTTATGCTCTGTAGCCTATGATTGCGTACAAGGTTCTAGCAGGTCATAAGTAGTCTTCAAGATGCTCTCTAGACAACTGTTCCAGAAACAGACAGATGTCTGATCGAGCAAGGGATCTGTCATCCTGGCCTTTCCGACCGTATAATGATCTTTTTATAGGTCGCAGATCGATCAGGAGGTACATGGCCCTTGCTTATCATTTCCGCATTAGTAGAACTTATTCTGGCTTGTTAAGAATGCTCGCGGGGCTTCTGCTTGAAGTCAGCTGTGTTGCTCACCGCTGGAGCGGTCACTGATATGAGCTCGTTCAGCTGCTTCAGAGCATGCTGCGAAGTCGTATCGCTTAAAGGTACTCCGTACTTCTACTCCTATCTGCACCGGGTGAGCCACACTTGGACAGGTCCTGGTGGCGTCATGGACACATTCCTCCCTGCCCCTGGAATGACCGATCAGCCCGGGGATGAAGGAGATCGGTTCCATACGGCATCCAGAGCGATCCGTGGATCCACGGCCTTTAAACTCAAATCAGAGGAATGTGTCAAACGATATCAACAATGTAAACTTAGAATTCATGTAGATGTTAGATTGTTGAGTGGTGAGTAGTGAGCAAAGCGACGGACAGATTGGGCGAATTCAGAGGGTCATCAGTCATCCAAGGAGGGCGAGTGAAGTCGATACCTCTGAGACAGTTTTTCCCCAGAATTAGACCCTCGCAATATCCCTGGATGTGAAGGTATCACGGCACCGTTGCATAGTGGGGCTTGGAACCAGGCGCCCCAGATTATTGGGAATAGTGTGCTGCAAAAGATACCCACAGGTCAGTTTGACAGGGCAACAGCCACGGATTCGGGACGACGCATGCGGCGAGGGTTGAGGGGAGACTGAAAGGGTCCGCGGAAACCAGGAAGATGTAACGAGGTACTGTTAGGGAGATGGGGACAAGTGGATCCCAAGTTGCAGAGTGTGAGATTTGAGGATGATGAAGATGAAGATCTGGAAGAGTACGGAGTATAGAGATTAGAGAAGGGGGGCAAAGAAACGCAGGAAGAATGAGATGCGATGGGGCAAAAATCAGCCAGAAAGGCGTTCAGGGTCCAGACTGCGCGGCCAGAGATTAAAATAACCGGCAACTAAACTGGAGGAGGAAAAGAGCATCCAGCAGGACTTCGTAAAAGACTCCATTCTTACGCAAACCTGGACTTCGGGCGCAAATGAATTTTCGGCGCTACGCAGTGGGACTAACAAGGACTAACACCAAGGCAGTAAGCATCATCCGCCCGCGTCTCCCTCCGGCCGCAACCGGCCAGGCAATAATCCTTCCTCAATCTTCCTTCTCCTCTTCCTTCCCTCCTTTCGTTATTATTATTATTATTATTATTCTGGTCTTTTCGCTCCCTCGCCTATTCCCGCCGTTGTCGAGGGCTGACTGTCGCCTCTCCAACCATCTATTCCGTCACTCGTTCGTCTCCGACCTTCCACCACCACCACCGCTTCCACTGCCACCTTCGCTACGCCCGCCCATCGCCAACTTTTATATTCTCTCCCTCCTCGCCACCACCACCGCTCACTCGCCTTGGACTAGATTATCGTCGTCATATCATGGTGGGCACCTCCCAGTGAGCGATTCCTCTCCCCCCTCGACGGTCCCCACCGCCCTCCTTTCAGCCGCAAGATACCTCGTCATGGCACGTTGGCCCCGGGCCTTGACCCCCAGCCATGCTGCCAGTTCAACCTCCTCGACCATGCTCTTCTATCTCTCCTTGATGTCCATCGCTCTCTCGACCGTCGTTCGCGCTCACACTGTCACCCTTCTCCCATCTGTCGCCTCGTCCGACTTCCCCTCATGTGCCTTGACCTGCTCGGTCTTAAAGGAGGCCCAGAATGAGTGTGTGCCTCCCGTCGCCGCCCAGACTGATCATGCGACCTACGTCTCGTGCTTCTGCCAGTCAGCTCTGCTCGACCAGATCCATTTTCCGACTGGGGTCTGCACAGAAAGCTGTCCCAGTGCCTCGGATCGTGCGTTGATCCGGACATGGTATGACGAATTTTGCTCGTCCGAGGACACCCTCGCCGCAAGAGACACCACTCCTTCCATTTTCGCGAGAGATTCGCGCTCCCAGACCTGGTAGGTAGCCCCCGCCCCGGTGACCACCTGGACCGGCGCAGATATTGACATAGCTAGGTGGACCACCCACTACCAGTGGGTGATCATGGTTATTGTTCTGGTGGTCGCGTTTTCCGTCATCACCGTCGTGGGCGTCTGGCTCAAGCGTCGCCACGACCGGAAATATCCTGGCCTCTATCACGCTACCAACACCGCAGGAACCGATAGCGCACTGTTGGCAGCTCGTCAGCAGGACAACAGTCCATCACCTCAACCGGGACCTCCCCCACAGGGCGCGTTCAGGCCCGGCCGATTCGACCCCACGTTAAACTCCGAGTCGATTGCCAGCAGTTCGCGCACCAATATCACCGCTCCGACGACCCGGCCCGCTCGAAGTTCGTCGCGTCTACAGAAGGCCCAACCAGTTCCAGAGGGTGATATTGAAATTCGCGAAGTTAGCCGGTGATATCCGTGCATGATTATGGTTTCTTTCTTTCTGTTGTTTGCTTTTTCTATTTCACTTCAAGTGTCAATCTTTTCCCACTTTGAGAGCGGGAGAAATGCGCCGTTCACGTCGTTAGTACCGGCATGACGTGGGTAAAGCCAGTCGGGAAACAAATCGGCGCATCTCGCGAAACAAACTTGCATATACCTGGCGTTTACGTGTTTGTGGGGTTCAACTGGGAGACTCATGTCCAGTTTCAGTCCGATTCCATATCGTCCCACCCTACACTTCTTTTCTTCTTCGTCTTTTGACTCTCTCTGCCTCGCCTGCTCCGAATGATTGTGCATAAATATGGTTCAGGTTTCTATTTGGCTGTGGTTACCTTTGACCCTTGTGTGATCGAATATAGTCCCTTCCGTTGCTCGCTTTCTTTGATGCATCGATATTATACTCCTATACGTGGAGCATGACCAGGATCGAATATCAATATATATATATGACTGATTATTGTAAGATTCTTACTTCATTCAAGGAGGGGATGGACCTACAAAATCAAAACAGAGAATTCAATGAACATAAAGTGACACGGATTTCCTATTTACTTTTGTTGGCAATCCCAGAGAACACCGTGCTTATATATTGACAAATGAATCCGTCTTTAGTGTGCCTTCGGGTTGGAATTGCAGCCTGCAAATACTACCTCGTTACTAATCTTTTCGCCCTGAAGTGGTGCAGAGACAAACTGCACTGTATACTACCAACATGACAGGAGCTTATTTTCTAAAGTACTAATTCAGATCATGGTCTACCATGATTGATACTACAAGATTAAGGCATAATCTCATACCTCCTACTAACCGATTACTGATGCTTTTGGTGCATGTACGTCATACTTAGTTACTAGTATTATAGTATATAAATGGCCCACTGGCCTCAGCATTCTCACACAATACTATTGAACCCCCCCCAAAATCACTCCGTGCATGCGGATAGCAAATACACCCTTTATCTGTGTTTGCTCTATGCAGCAACACTTTCATATGCTAGTCATTAGACAGAGACTGGAAATCGGGTGTAAACCATACCCCCAACGCACTCAATAGTCGACATGGTTCAAAGCAACACATGATATAATCCCTACGTTGTCTAGCTAGTTTTCCCAGGGCCATCATCTTCTATAGTGATTATATAAAAATCATCAGAGCGTGTGGCATATTAGTATCTAGTTGGTACTTGCATAAAGTCACTAGTGATACAGCAATACAGCTCAGTTCCCAGTACTGATTTCAATGATATATTTTGGATGCTAATTTACAGGGTAGTAGTATATAAAAAGCGGTAAAAGAAAACACAAAATCGCTGAACTCGATATAAAAACCAGTCATCCCAACCAGACCACACAACAAAGAAACAGCCCCCTAAGTAACCGTTATACTCACGATCTTAATATCCTGCTCCGGCTTCTCCTTGAACGTCTTCGTGTTCTCAATCTTATGCACGACATCCAAACCCTGCACCGCACGGCCAAACACAGTATGTTTCCCGTCCAACCAGGGCGTCTTTTCTGTCGTGATAAAGAACTGACTTCCATTCGTATTGGGACCCGCGTTAGCCATGGACAAAGTATATGGTTTATCGTGTTTAAGACTGGAGAATTCGTCCTCAAACTCGCCGCCCCAGATGGATTCACCGCCTGTGCCGTCTCCCAGCGGGTCACCACCTTGAATCATGAACTTGCGGATGACACGGTGGAAGATGGTGTTGTTGTAGTAGCCGTTGCGGGCATGGGTGGTAAAGTTCTCGACGGCTTTAGGAGCAGCAGAGGGGTAGAGGCGAAGGTGGATGTCGCCCATGGTGGTGTGCAGGATGGCGGAGGTGCCGAGTTCGGCGGCCTTCGGTGCGGCGGCTTCACGTCCGGAGGCGGCTTCGCGCGGCCGTTCGTTTTGGATGTCGCGGTTTGATTTGCTAATTTCAGTGTCATTGGTGAATAGGTAGAAGCGGACTTTAGCAAATCCTGTGCTGACAAGGATTGGATCGCGTTCTTCGGCTTCTTGGAGGAGTGGGTTGGCACTGGCAGCCATGGATACGGTCACGACGCCCTTCTTTTGCGGTTGACCTTGGTACATGGCGAGGTTGAGGGAGCGGAATGGCTCCTCTTTGGCGTAGACGCGAACGACGCGGTTGGTGTATGTGTTGATGCATTTAATGCCGTAGAGGGAGCCATAGAGGATGAAGTGACCGGATTCGTCGAAGAGGACGTTGATCTTGGGCTTGGTGATGGGGTTCTCGAGTTCCCGTTCTACAGCAAGTCGGCGGCCGAATTCGAGCTCGTCGAGTTGGTAGATTGCTGTGCCGGCTTGTTGCATTGCAGTGATTGTGTTCAGTGATTCGTCGTACTTGCGGTAGAGCTTGCCCGTGGCGAAGTCGAAGACGCGGACTTGACGGTCCGGGAAGGAGACGGCGGCAAATTGCTGACCAGACGGGGAGATGCATAGCGACGCAGGGACCGACTTGGCCTTTCGGAACTCGAAGAGGTTGGTAGAGGACTTGAGCTCGAAGACATTGTCGGGCTTCTCGAAGGAACCGTCACCCGCTCGCCAGTACTCAATCATGCCGGAGTCGTCGGCGGAGATGACACAATCGTAGGCGTCGTTGAAGGCAATGGCGGCCACGGGGCTTCGGTGGATCGACTTGACGGTGTGCAGAGGGGTCTGATTTTCACCGCGGCCATCGAAGACCTGGATCATACTGCTTTCTTCGTCTGTTACGGCCAGCAAAGGTAATGAGGCGCCCCGGCGATGGACCCAACATACACAGCGCGGAGTGAATTCGAGGGTGAGCATGGCAAGAAGGTCTGCGATAGTGTTAGTGCACTCGATCGCTGCGATAATAAGGAGCTTATATGCCTACCAAACGTGATAACATCAAAGATCTTGACCGTCTTGTCCGCTCCGGTCGTCGCAAAGCTTCTTCCATCGGCGCTGACGCTGACGCTCTTGATCTCCGAGGTGTGGGCGCGAAACTCCTTCACGAACTCGACACCGACTGCCATCTTCTTCCAAAATTTGACGAAGCCATCAATAGATGAGGTTATAAGGAAATCGGTATGCGGAGTCACGGTGACAAAGGACAATTGGTCCTTGTGCATGAGAGACTTGGAGTACCGCGGCGATGCGGGCAGCGCGTTTACGTAGACCTTCTCGAAAGGGAGCTTGCGACGCTTCTTTTTCGGTGCATCAGCGGAAGGGAGGGCCGGTCCGAAGTCATCGTCAGAAGATGAATCGTCTCCTAGAAGAGCTAGTCAGTAGCTGTTCAGCTGCGCATCTTGTCTTCACAGCTGCTCGCAGGAGCTGTTCCCGACACTGCAGACGTACCATTCTCGTCGCTACCATCCACGGCGGAATGGGGGCGCTTGTTCGTCGCCAGCTTCTGTTCCTCCTCTGCAGGCATTTTAGAAAAAGAATCAAGGGTAATTTATTAGTAAATATTGGGATGAGCAAGACAGCAGCGCTGGTCAAGAAGCGATGGAGGAGCAAGGCCGGGCGGTCTGCCACCGCCGGCGGAGCTCGGGCCACATCGCGAACTTTTCTGGTTGTCCCGCATTGGTTGGCCTCGCCGTCTCTGAGTCCTCACCGTCCAGGAGAAGCATCCCCCTGAGCTACCAGTCTTTTCCCCCGACGGTAGCCCATCCTTTCATCCACAATCAGTCACCATGGTATGTTGTCTATGACGCCCTTCCTCTTGTTACGTCGCTTTCGACTAAATACTGACCGCCCCTCAAGGCGTCCTTCGCCAATCCCACGCAGATCTTTGCGGACGATGTCATCGAAGAGAAGGGTGAGAATGCTCGTTTGTCCGCCTTCGTCGGTGCCATCGCCGTCGGAGACCTGGTGAAGAGCACCCTGGGTCCCAAGGGAATGGACAAGATCCTCCAGTCAGCGTATGTGGGATGACCCATTCAAGCTAAGCGGGGTTGCACCCCCCGAACACCACACTGATATTACGGCTGATATAGGTCGACCGGAGACATCCTCGTTACGAATGACGGTGCTACGATTCTTAAGTCAATTGCTCTCGACAACGCTGCGGCCAAGGTTCTCGTCAACATCTCGAAGGTGCAGGATGACGAAGTTGGTGACGGCACCACTTCCGTGACCGTGTTGGCTGCGGAGTTGCTGCGGGAGGCTGAGAAGCTCGTGAACCGCAAGATCCACCCCCAGACCATCATCGAGGGATACCGGATAGCTAGCAAGGCGGCTCTGGAGGCCTTGGAGAAGGCGGCTGTTGACCGTAGTGCCGATATGGAGTCGTTCCGCAAAGACCTCCATGCCATCGCTCGTACCACCCTCAGTTCGAAGGTCCTGGCCCAGGACCGTGATCAGTTCGCTGCCCTCGCCTGTGACGCTGTCCTCCGTCTCCGTGGCTCGACCGACCTGAGCCACATCCAGATCATCAAGAAGGCCGGTGGCAAGCTTAGCGACTCCTACCTCGACGAGGGTTTCATCCTCGACAAGAAGATCGGTGTGAACCAGCCCAAGCGCTTGGAGAACGCCAAGATTCTGGTCGCCAACACGGCCATGGACACAGACAAGGTGAAGATCTTCGGTGCACGGGTGAAGGTCGAGTCGACAGGCAAGCTGGCGGATCTCGAGAAGGCGGAGCGTGAGAAGATGAAGGCCAAGGTTGAGCGGATCAAGGCCCACGGAATCAACTGCTTCGTCAACCGTCAACTCATCTACAACTGGCCCGAACAGCTGTTTACGGAAGCTGGCATCATGTCCATTGAGCACGCCGACTTCGATGGTGTTGAGCGCTTGGCCCTGGTCACTGGCGGTGAGATCGCCTCGACATTCGACCACCCCGAACAGGTCAAGCTGGGTCAGTGCGACGTTATCGAGGAGGTCATCATTGGCGAGGATACGCTCATCAAGTTCTCGGGCGTGGCTGCCGGTCAGGCATGCACCATTGTGCTCCGTGGTGCCACGGAGCAGCTGCTCGACGAAGCCGAGCGCTCCCTCCACGACGCTCTGGCCGTGCTCTCTCAGACGGTCAAGGACCCCCGGGTGACCCTGGGTGGTGGCTGTGCCGAGATGGTGATGTCCAAGGCCGTTGAGCAGGCTGCCCAGAACACGACCGGCAAGAAGCAGATGGCCGTGGATGCTTTTGCGTACGCTCTGAAGCAGCTCCCTACCATTCTGGCGGACAACGCTGGTCTGGACTCCAGCGACCTAGTGACGCGACTACGACAGGCGATCAACAACGGCATGACCAGCTCCGGACTGGATCTGCTCACCCCTGGCGGTGGCATTGCTGACATGCGCGAGTTGGGTGTTGTGGAGAGCTACAAGCTGAAGAAGGCGGTAGTGTCCTCTGCGTCGGAGGCTGCAGAGGTAAGAATCACATTCCTTTGAGTTTATCTGGCAAAGTTTGATTATACTGAAACTAACCAACCTACAGCTTCTCCTGCGTGTCGACAACATCATCCGGGCTGCGCCCCGTAGACGTGAGCGTATGTAAGGGACGAGGGAGATGTCAAGTAAATATCCAATATCCAATCTTATGTGAGCGTGGAAAATAATGTGAGCTTGATTCAAACCCGCCAGGGATGACTTAGGAGGTGGATGGGATGTCCACTGTGCTCTATAGGGAGCGTAATTACCATGCTATAGACCTTCCGAAGGGAAAAAAAAAGCAGCTGACGAATGATTTTTGAATATGCTTATATTTCTTTCTTTTCCTTTACCTGGACGATGACACTCGTGGTGCCTCTCGCTGCCTTCACAATCTGGTATGGTATGATCGGCCTACTTTCGATTGGGGCTGCGTAAGAGTGTCCTTGAACCTACGCTGTGTAGTAATTACAGCACTCTGATCATCTCAGACACGGGAGTTTAGAGCTGGTGCGATGTGGGTCGAGGGAGTTGTTCCTGCCGCCAGCCTGCCATCATTTGACGTGGTACAACATATGGCCCCAAGTATGACGAACTCATGTTTATCCCAGCTCCTCTTGCAAATACGATGACAAGGCACCCCTCGACCAGCAGTAGGCAGAAACAATAAGGAAGTAGGACAGCACCCTTTGACAATAAGTAATAGTTAGTAGATAGTACTCGTAGTCTACTAATTTAGACGCGACAAGTTCCCTGTAAACAGCCCCCAACGTACAGGAGGACATGGGAGAATTGCAGCAGCACCCAGCCATGATGATAAATAACTAACTAATTAGACGATGATGGCTGTGCCAGGTCAATCCAGCATCTGCGCCAAGGATGATAAGCGGTCGAGGATCCAAGTTCCAAGGTGTTTGTGCGCACCAAAAATTTCCTGGCCGATCATCCCAGCAGCCAAGACTGACACGGGCGATTTCCTATATTTAGTGAGCGTTAAATGTTGTGGGGGGACAGACAGTGTTGTTATTTCTCCGAATATGCGCATTTTGACAGCGGATGTGTTAGGGTCGGTCGCATGGCTTACTTGGAGATATAAATGCGGACAACATTATATTCTAGTACTTGAATACTTATTATGTCCTAATTCTATAGTGCTGCCCGGTTTCCTCATTTACACTTGACTGCGATGATAATTCTGTTAGCGTCCACTGAGTACTGTTCCGCGGGGCGATCGATGGAGCAGCCCCCGCAAGAACGGGCCAGTCAGAATCCCCAGCGACAAGCCATTGCGCGTTCGGCGGTCCCCCCAAGGCACCACAAGCACCACAAGCACTGCTGGACCCTGAAGCTAATACCCGAAAGTTAGTAACTCCCAGTTCCCAGGGTCCAGCAGACAGACGCCCGGACTAAGTTAGTTTCATCGGGTCCCTGAACATGAACTGGGTGGAAACGGTGGGAAAGCCTTGGGAGGGGAAAGGCCCTGTTCATCGTCCATCATCCTTCGTCCCTCCCTTGGCACTGACAATACGACCCCATGGCTCATAGCGGAAGGGGTTGCGCTCCACTGCTACCTTTCTGTGACTTTATTACCACCCTCCACTCCAGTACCACCCCCCCCAAGTGAACTGATGCCGTCACTGCAGTCTCACTACAACTGGTCCTGTACCATATCCAGCCACACCTCGGCTGCTGCTGCTCTTTCACTCGTTCCTCTTCTCCTGTCGTATGTCATGTCGACTGCTGCAATTGGACTGGTCAAGATCTCCCAGGCTCTGTCAGCACTTGCTTCGGTCACTGCACTCGTTTAGATCCCCAGTTGCAAGGCTGGACGTGATTGATCCCCTCATTCCTCTCCTTCCCCCTCCCTTCCGCATTCCGCCCACCACGTTCCGTCTTCGTCAACGGAATTTTTTCATCCACTTCTTCACACGCGTGTTGATGCTGCTGTCTTCTTCGTCCTTCACTTGAGATTTTCGCATTTAGCGTCTATTGACGATGGTGGTGCCAGGCTGGATATGGGCGGTCTTTCTGACCATATTTGTCTCCTTTCAGAGAACAGTGACGGCGCTGCAGCTGGACATTAACGATGAACGTAGGTGTTCCCGACTCGTGCAGGAATGACGCACACAGGTGCAGGTACTGATCATTGCGCAAATATAGAATCTATCAAAGATGCCGCCAGGACCACGGCCTTCAACATGATGAGCTACTATCATGGCAACGAATCGGGCCAAACGCCAGGAAAGCTGCCCGATACCTGGTGGGAAGGTGGTGCTATGTTCATGACGTTGATTCAGTACTGGTACTGGACTGGCGACACATCCTATAACGAGGTGACCACCCAGGGTATGCTCTGGCAGAAGGGCGACAACGACTACTTTCCAGCCAACGATAGTAACTATCTCGGGAACGACGACCAGGTCTTCTGGGGTCTAGCCGCCATGACGGCTGCAGAACTAAACTATCCCGAACAAGATGGTCAGCCATCGTGGCTGTCGCTCGCCCAAGGTGTCTTCAACACCCAGGTCCCCCGATGGGATACGACCAGCTGCCAGGGTGGACTTCGTTGGCAGATTTGGCCTTACCAGGCTGGTTATACCACCAAGAACGCCATCTCGAACGGAGGTCTGTTTCAATTAGCCGCTCGTCTGGGACGCTACACCAACAACGATACATACACCGACTGGGCAGAAAAGATTTGGGACTGGAGTGCGACAACGCCGCTGTTGCAGACGGAGGACTGGTACATTGCCGACACAACCACCACAGAGGCAAACTGCAAGGATCATGGTGATATACAGTGGACGTATAATTATGGAACCTACCTCAGCGGGGCCGCATACATGTACAATCTGGTCAGCACCTATTCCTCCAATCTGCAAATTTAATCCCTGGCTAATCAGATTCTAGACCAATGGCGCCGACAAATGGAAGAAAGGTCTCGACGGTCTGCTTGCAAGTACCTTCTCAAGGTTCTTCCCGAAGGAATACGGCAGCAACATTATGTCCGAGATCTCCTGTGAGCCCAACATGATGTGCGACCGGAATCAGGACTGCTTCAAAGGTTTCTTGTCCTCCTGGCTTACCTTTACTACAACCATTGCGCCCTACACTGCCGATCAGATCCTCCCGAAGATCCAGCAATCCGCCCTGGCAGCGGCAAAGCAATGCTCGGGAGGCGATTCCGGCACTCAGTGCGGGCGGCGGTGGTACCAAGCGCAGTGGGATGGCGAGACATCGCTCGAAAGTGACATGAGTGCCCTGAGTGTCTTCTCGTCGAATATGATCACGCATCGGCAAAGTCAAGGTGGCCAATCTCAGGGTCCGTTGACGTCGGACACTGGCGGCACCAGCCAAAGCAACCCTAATGCAGGAACCGGTCCAAAGGATGCACCCAATAAGCTGCCCGACATCACAACCGGAGACCGTGCAGGTGCCTCCATCCTTACTGTCCTCTTTGTCGGCAGCTGGGCTGGTGCTATTACCTGGCTGGTCTATGGAGGTTGAGCGACATTTGAGGATCTTCACTTGCAATTTCACTTTGTACATAAAATCTGCTTCATTGAGGCAGAGACGGCTCTGTCGCTGTTGTCTTCTCTCCCCTACGACCTGCTGGCTTGAAACTGTGCTGAATCGCGCTTGCTGCCAGCACTGTGGAGTTGTATTGCAATTTGTTGAAGTGTTTTGGAGTTACTTGGGTTGGAAGGATACTGGAGTTGTGGTGTTAGGAGCGAGTCAAGCTCCACAGCCGGAAGACCCGGATTTTGTTATGATTGACGTGGGATTAGCTATAAAATAGCAGACTTGCTTCCCGCTTTCGGCTATACTTTTAATATGTGACCTACTCACCCTCACCAAGGGGATATCAATCGTCCACAGTAATGCAAGACCGACGCGAGCCCAAATTGACTCGTCAATCCGCTCTCTATAGCCTGTAACTATAGCATTTCCCAATCCGGTTAAGACCAGCCACGCCGCCCTAATTTGGCAAGCGGTCAGACGCGCTGCAGGCTCCACGGCGGGCGAGCCAATAAGGCGGTGTCGAGGCGACAATATTCATCAGATAGAGCGATAGATTCACTTCTTCTGGCAGCAGCAGGAAGGGGACCACAAAATACCTGTCAATCCCCTGGCCCATGGTCTAAGGTCGGTGTTACTAGCTGACACTTACCGTCCCGCCATTCAGTCTCACCTTCTCACCTCCAGACCTCCCTCTACAGCTTCATCTTCCCTCCCCATCCATCCCGCCATCCAAATACGATTTATCACATAACTGCTCAGTACATTACGCTGTCCTTGTTGCACGGATAATGCTTATTGCAGCTGTCCCTGCTGCTGCTACTTCAACCGTCTGACACACACATACACACACCGATTGCGCGCGCCCGTCCCTCCGCCGATATGGTCTTCCTACGTCTACGAGTCAAGGTCTACCCGCGCGAGCAGGTTGCGCCTACGCCATCTTTCTCCTTCCGCTCGATCCTCGGTGATCGCGATCGCGATCGCGATGACGCTAGCCGCGGTACTAACGGCTCGAGCGGAGGCAAACCGGTGGCCTTTCTGCTTGTGCTTGAGAAACCCGAGGATATTACGCTGGGTGGACTGGCCGGGTTGATTCAGGATAAGTGGAGGAAGTTGAGACCTAATGCGGAGTAAGTGCATTGCTATCTGGCTTGTCTACTCTGTCGTGCTTGGCATACGTTACGTGTAATACAGACGGATCGGCTAAATCGCGTCACGTTAGACCTCTGGACATCAAGAAACTCCTCGACGACGATCATGAATCCGACGACCTCGATGCCGATATGACTGTCGCGGAAGTGTTTGTCGATAATGGCAGAGCTCGGCAGGATTTGTCCGACCAGCGGGGTACTGTCCGTGTGATACAGAAGCCTGGTCAATATGCCCCTGTGCGGTTCCCCTCCGTCACTCAGGACTGGGATGCCGCTGCGCAAAACTTTGAGCGCCAGATCCAGGTCAAGAAGGAGGCCGTCAAGAAGGCGATGGATCAGATCCCGACCATTCATGAAGAAGAGAATAATGAATATTCGAATGCTGGTTCTGTTAGTGCACGGTCGTCTGCGTGGAGTCCCTATGAGAACCGTCGGTCTGAAATCCCCGTTTCGTCTGTGGAAAAGGATGAGGTCCCAGGCTCGCCTGCGCCTTGGGATAAGAAGCCAGTACTGCATGAGGAGGATTCTCAGAATCAGGTTGGCAGCAGTATTGCGGCTACACCTTTGCATAAGCGCATGCAGAGCCAGGAATTGGGGGACTCCCCATCGCACACCCCGACGCCTGAAGAGCGCGCTGCGTCTAGACACAATTCCTCGCAAGGTTCCGCAAGACAGCCGGTCAAGGAGGCGACGGAATCGAAAGCTAATGGCTCGCACGAGATGGAGAGTATCGATGGATCTCTGTCGCCCTTGAGTACTCGGAAACCACCCCAGCGGCGACAAGTACCCGAACCCCAGCCGCCAGCCCCAGTTGTTGATGTTGACAGCGAGAGCGAGAGTGAGAGCGAAGACGAGAGCGAGGATGAGACAGGAGACGAAAATAACGAGAACGTGGCTCCCCCGTCTGCTCAGAAGAATAAGCTCCAGAATGGTGATGTCGAAATGCATGATACGGTGGAATCTACGGAGGAACAGCCACAGTCGAGTAACAGCAACTCGCGCAAGAGAAAATTGAGCCAGGACAGCTTCGAACCGAGCAAAGAGCCCCGCCTTTCTGAGCCAGGAAGCACGCATGCTACGCCCAAGGGCATCAAAGACAGCATGGTAACAGTTGAGGTGAGTCCGTATACTCCAAGCAAGCGCGCGCGAGCCCCATCAGTTGGATTTAGCCCCCGCCGAAGCTTCTTAATGCGTGCCCCATCCGCACCCCCAAAGCATGGTCTAGGCTTGGGAATCACAAGAAGCCCTCCAAACAACCGACTTACACGCTATTTGACCCAGGACTCGGCCGTCCCCCCACCCAACTTTCTGGCCCCTAATGGTACCCCGGAGATTCCCAGTAGCGCCCCTACTATCCGCCGTGGCTCAGTATCGCTTGCCCCGTACTCCACACCGTCGAAGGCCCAGGCCCCACTCGACAAAGTCAAGAACCTGCACTCGGCCTTGCGTAAGAGCTCCCCGGCTGAACGGCCGTCCGAACGACGATCAGTATCGTTCGCTGAGTCAGACGAGGTAGTGTTTGCCGGGTCTCAGCCAGTGCCAAAGTCGAACCCTCAGAGTACCTCTAAATCTCGAGCCAAGAGTTCAGACCCCGATAGGAGGACGTCCGACCCAAGCTCCATGGTCTTCCCTGCTTCTGTGCCCAAAGAGCGGCTGGACCAGCTCATGGAAGAAGCAAACCGGAAGATTGAGCAGGATAAACAATACGAGGAGAAGTTGCAGGCTAAGCTCCAGACCGCACGGGAGCAGAAAGCTAGTGCTCAGTATATTCGCAAGCTACAGGAACTGACGGACGCATGGACGGCTCTCAAGAAGGCTGAAAAGCACCAAAAGACGAAAACCGTAGCTCAGCGTAAGTTCGATACACTTCAGAAAGAGGTCGACAGGCTTGAGGCTACGCAGAAACCCAAGCCAGCTTCTGCTACACCACAGAAGAAACAGCAATCCACGACACCACGTACTCAGCCCACTGATGCCGTCAAATTGCCGACGCCGCATGACACGAAATTTGCAAGTGACAGCAAATCTCCAGCTTCGGAAAGCCATACTCAGCCTCAGAAGACCTCTCCGATGCAGATGCGGACCAGGTCAGCTAGCAAGCTGGACGCTTCCCCGAAGATTGTCCCCAGCGAGCCTCAGAGCTCCTTTGCTTCCGACAACCTGGACCTGCCACCCATGGACCGAACCGTTCACAGAGCTGGCTCGTCCAAACCCAGCGGAACACCAGTTCGTGCAAGCACGGTAAAATCGCCCGAAAAGGCTCCTAAGCCGTCTCCGCAGGCACCAATCGAGTTGTCGTCTGATTCAGAAGAGTCCGAGGAATCGGATTCGGAACCCGAGTCGGAGTCGGAGTCCGAGGAAGAGGAAGAGAAGAAGCCTGCGATCCGTCAAACAGCGTCGTCACCAGTGAAAGCCAACACCGCAACACCTTCCCAGGTGCCAGCCTCACAACCAGCTCCGTCGCAGACATGGGCACGTCCTTCAAGTGCAACGCGCACGACGCGCACGACACTAAAGTCATTGATCCAGAACCAGAAGAAGGAGCTGGAAGCGAAGACGCAGCCGAAACGCGCGGCGAACTCACAACCCCAGAAGCGAAGCGTGTACTCGCCGCCATCTGATGACAGTGAAAGCGAGAGCGAGAGCGAGAGTAGCAGCAGCGACAGCGACAGTGATTGAATCATACCTTTCTTCATTCGACCTTTTTTCCATTGACATTACGATTCTTCCGGGTGGTTGTATCATCATCATCATTGTCAAGCGCACTGCGTTGGCATTTCGGCTTTCTTTCTGCTATAGCGATGAATAGTTATTCCGACTCATTTGGACGTGTGTACCCAACAGCAGCATCCGGCGTGCATTGTATGTATGTATGTATTTGCCTAGCTCAATATTGAACAAGATAGTACTTTTTATCCCCTCACCCAAGTAGCAAACTAGTAGATACTTTTAAAATCAAGGCACATTAACCGCATTCTCCTTTCCCACCCCCACTCCCTCCCTTCCCCATAACCCCCTCCACCTCCCTAACCACCCAATTCCACCCAAACACATCCTCCACCTCCCCCGTCTGAATCCCCTGCAACAACCCCAACAACTTCCTACACACCGGGCCCCCTTCCCCCTTTTCACCACCACACTCAAACCCCCACTTATCCCCCTTACTCTTCATCGTAATACTCCTAACAGGAACCAACCCCGCCGCCGTCCCCGCCGCAATCACCTCATCAAACTCCCTAATCTCCTCATACTTGACGCTTCTCTTCTCCACCGTATACCCCAGCATCTTCTCCCCGATCTCCAACACCGACGCCGCAGTCACCGAGTCAATCACGTTCACGCTATCCGGCTGCACGAGCGTCACTTTCCCCTCCCCCTCCCCATTATTGTTATATTTCACCCCAATAAACGCACTCGTCGAAAACTCATCCACCTCCGTCCGCGTCTTACTATCCAAATGCAACGTTATCCCATACCCCTCTTTGTAAGCTGCCATGCTATGTCGTTGCACTGGAGCATAGTTGCCCCCCGCTTTGGCGCTCCCTGTTCCCTTTGGGGCCGTGCGATCGTACTCTTCGAGGATCAGCGCGTCCACGGCGGATATCCCGTGGTACAGGCCTGTCGGGGTCACGAAGACGGCGAAGGTGAATGTTTCGGGGGGCGTTAGGGAGATTTGGGGACTGGAGCCGAAGACGAGGGGCCGGATGTAGAGCGCTGAGACTCCCGGTTTCTCTCCTGACGTGGGTGTGAGCGTTGTGTGGTGCGGTGGGACGTATTCGGCGTTGGAGGCCACGGCCAGGTTCACGGCTGAGAGGAAGATGGGGGTTGGGATTGGGGGGATGGAGAGGATGGTGGAGGAGTGGGCGAGGCGGGTGGCGTTGAGGGTTGGGCGGAATATGGTTATTTTGTCATTTCTGCTGCTGTTATCGTTGGTAGTTGTGGTGGTGGTGGCATGGCGAAAGGCTTTCAGGCCTTCGTAGGCTTGTTGGCCGTAGTTTAGGGCTGGGGAGAGGCCGTGGATGGAGAGGTGCGGGGATTTGATTAGTTGGGGGGTGCTCCAGGTGTGGGTTTGGGGGGTGTAGGTGCATTCGACGTGGTAGTTTACTAAAGTATTGGAGATGGGTTATTAGTGGGTTGGTGAGAGGAATTGAGGGGGAGGGGGGATTAGGAATGGGGGCATACCGTCGCGCACTTTGAAGCCGATGTTGGTCCAGTCGATGGAGCGGGTTGGGGGTGGGGGGAAGGGGGTTGTCATCTTGTCGTAGTGTATGTTGTATGGAGGGATAACTAGGGTGGTTGATGGAAGAGAAGTAGAAGATTAAGTCAGGGATAGAATAGACTACTGTCAGATTATAAGATAGATAGTTATACGAAGTAAGGTAGCAAGCAGCATATGGCAGGAATGCAGTGCATGTGGCATGCCGGAATCGAGTCTACTGGAGTCCCCTCTGCAGCGTCTGCATCCGTACCTAATGCACCACCATTACTGAAATTCCATCATGCTACATCATGAGGAATGTGGTTCCGCGGCTGGATGCAGCAGTCAAGTTAATTCCATCCATGGGTCGCAGTGCAGTGCATCTCTCCGCATTTCGGCTTTTATCCCCGCAAACTTTAGTATCCTGCTAGTCGGGTGGGGGGTATTGTCCATTAGCAGCATCCTCGAAGTAGAATACGGGATCAGCAATTAGATCAGCTGTCAGGTGTTTGACTTTTGCTTGCTGGTCTAGAATTTGCAAGCAAGTTACTAAGACAGTGCACTACTACTACTGCGTGAATCGTCGACTTGGCTAGAATCTATGAAAAGGCCCGCTAGCAGGACACGGTCCATGTTCCCATCCCGCTCTGCTCACCGATCCAGCATTTCCAACTCCTTGAATGGCAAAACTTATTCTAATCCACTGGTTTGTCTCACGCCAAGCAAAGAAATACCGAGGGATGGATGACTGCTTACTGCTGACAGGGTTACTGCCCTCATACCTCGTCCGTGCATCTGGCTTACGCGAGATATTACCCTTCGTTTGTGTGCTGATCAACCCTAAGTACAAAGTACCTCAGTGACTGAACTGAGCCTTGCATGGCACAATAACTAGTTAGTGGATTAATATGGGCAGTGGCTGGACCTGGAGTCAGGCCGTGGCGATAACACCATCGCTTGTCGATGTGGTGAGACCTTTAGTCACAATCGCACCCTTGATAACACTCTCGATAGTACAGAGTACCCTTGAAATACTGAAACAGTTTCTCTTATTGAGTCACGCCCTTTTTCCTTACGCAACCCAGTGCTGTCATTCCTTATTTAGTAAGCTCTCTGCTGGCATATGTAGTTATCTGCAAAAGTCAGAACAAGTCAGATTGTCTGCTGCAGAGTGAAGTGTGAACTGGCTATATTTGGGTCCATCTCGGCCCGCGCAGGAGAGTATGGGGGGACGGGCTAGAGTGGATATCTGCCGCGACGGGAAGAACAAAGATCGCTACACTACCAGGGAAGAGACAGCGATCAGCGAAGGAAGTAGAGTAGTAGAGTATGATGGCGGAATAAGTGAATAACTGTATTGTTGGAGATATATTACTTTTTTTTCTGAATACATTATGTTATGTCCAGAGGAGACAGAAACTCAAGGAAGGAAAGGGATTTGCCCCTGTCTTACCTGTAACTGGGAATCGACTAGCCCGTGTCGGGAATCCATCCCCGTCCCGATGCAAAAGTCGCAAACGCGTCAGCACATCACGTGCGCACAGCCTCCCCTCGATGCCCCCAATCCAATTCATCCATTCTATTCCATCCTATTCATCCGCTCAATGCTGCCCTTCAATTGCCCATCTGCTCTCGATTCTTCTTCCTTCTCTTTTGGTTCCTCCCACGCGGATTTTACCAACTGATGACACGCCCCGTGCCATCGGATCCCTCACTCTCCAGCTTCTCTCTCCATCTGGCCCACTGTATTGGAGTCCCTCAGCATGCGGTGGCGGCTGCCTGGCGCCCGGTCGACCCTTCCTGCCAGTGTCGCACTCCTCCTGCTCCCCGTTCTTGTTGCTCCGCAGCAGTGGCATGAACATCAACATGAGCTCTCCTCCACCGTTTCCGTCCCTCTCCGACCGACTGGTTTCACCTCCGGCGTCGATACCCCTCCCTCTTTCGACGTGAAATCCAACGATGCGAGCGCCCTAGCAACCCTGGCTCTGGCCGGCTCTGGCCGCGCCGTTCGAGCCCCTCCTGCCCAAGCCAGCAGCTCTACCGCTGGCCTGGCTCCGCAGCTTCACGCGCGGTCCCTGCAGGACTGGGAGGTTGAGGACTTTGTCCTGCTGGCGACCGTCGACGGTTCCATTCACGCACGCGACCGCAAGACCGGTGCCGCTCGTTGGGCCCTCGAGGTCCCGAGCAGCCCTATGGTCGAAAGCCTCTACCACCGAGCCAATCGCTCCAGCTTCGACCGTGCCCAACCAGAGGACGACTTTATCTGGATCGTCGAGCCGAGTCAGGGCGGAAGCCTCTACATCTACAGCTCGGGGCCAGAGGCAGGCCTCCAGAAATTGGGATTGACTGTGAAGGAACTTGTTGACGAAACGCCTTACTCGGGGACTGACCCGGCCGTTACTTATACGGCACGAAAGGAAACGACGCTGTATACCATCGATGCTCGCACCGGAAACATTCTGCGGGTGTTTAGCTCTAGAGGTCCCATTTCGTCAGGTCAGGAATGTCGAAAGGTTGATGGTCTGGATGTGGATATGGAAGAATGCGAATCCCCTTCGGGTACTCTAGTCCTTGGTCGTGTCGAATACACGGTAGCCATCCAGAACACCGAAACCGGTGATCCAATCTGCACTCTCAAGTACTCGGAGTGGACGGCCAACAACCGGGATATGGACCTCCAGAGCCAGTACCTCCGCACGATGGATCAAAGCCATATTTACAGCATGCATGATGGTGTAGTCTTAGGCTTCGATCATTCACGGATGGACCGGCCACGGTACACCCAGCGATTCTCGAGTCCGGTGGTCCGCGTCTTCGATGTTGCTCGTCCGGTCAGCGCCGACTCATCTAACGACCCTACTCCACTTATTCTACTCTCGCAGCCTCTACAGCCTCCTGACCCCGACTACGGTACGCTTGACGATCGTGATGAAAGAGTATTCATTGATTACACCGAGGGTGGTGGTTGGTATGCCATGTCGGAGGCCACCTACCCGCTTGTCACCGGGAGAGCCAAGATGGCTCAATGCTACGAAAAAGATTACCTCCGCCATGGTCAACCCCTAACAAGTCTGACCCCGAGTCAGCAACAAGATGCACTAGCAGGAGTCCATTCTTTGAACGGCCCACGCGTCGTCCGCCGTCACATCCCCAGCATTTCTGGCCCCTCGTCAGCCGATATGTCCAATGACACGCCTCGGGAGTTGATCTATAGCTCATCGGACTTGGCACTGCCTCCGGCTCTACGCCACAGCACCATTATACGGAAGGGCTGGGACAATGCCATTGATATTTTTGTGACGCTCTTGCTTCTGTTTTTCGGCACCTTCATCTGGTTCAATTCTCATCACATTCAGGAGCTTGCTAAGCAGAAGCTGGATCTGAAAAATATCATGGCCTCGTACGGACAGCCGCCCATGTCTACCCCCTCAACTCCAATCGTGGAAGCCCCTCATTTGAAACGCGAGGCTAGCCCTAATCGCATGGCGAATCTGACTGTCGACATGAATGTTTCAGGAGAGCAGCCGCAGGGTGGTGACTCGACGCCAAGGCCCAAGAAATCCCAGAACTCTCTTGCGCCCGACACAACTCCACGCGTACGCATCCGGGAACCGTCTCAAGGCCCAGATGGCGATGACGATGTGGACGAGCTCAATCTACAAGACGGTGAAAAGCCTAAGAAGAAGGCTCGCCGCGGTCGTCGTGGTGGCAAGAATCATAGGCGGGGCAAGAAGCCCAATAGCGACAGCGAATCCAGGGACCCGGCCGATCGCGTTGTTGATGAAGTGAACAAGCTTCAACCTCAGCCTCGCTTGGAACCCGATGTACAGCTGGCCCGGACGGTGTCGCATGAGATCATGGAAATGGATGGCGTTCTCCAGATCGGCCGTCTTAGGGTGTTCACTGACGTGGTCCTGGGACACGGCAGCCACGGGACCGTGGTGTATCGGGGCTCGTTCGATGGACGCGACGTGGCTGTCAAGCGCATGCTGGTAGAATTCTATGATATTGCATCCCATGAAGTGGGCCTGTTGCAAGAAAGTGATGACCATGGCAATGTGATCCGGTACTACTGCCGAGAGCAGGCTGCTGGTTTCCTCTACATTGCTTTGGAGCTCTGCCCGGCCTCTTTGCAGGATGTGGTTGAACGTCCATCAGATTTCCCGCAGTTAGTCCAGGGCGGCTTGGACCTGCCGGACGTTCTGCGCCAGATTGTGGCAGGTGTTCGCTATCTTCATTCTCTTAAGATTGTGCACCGCGATCTGAAGCCACAGAACATCTTGGTGGCGATGCCTCGCGGGCGTACTGGTTCACGCTCCCTGCGGTTGCTGATCTCGGATTTCGGCTTGTGTAAGAAGCTCGAAGACAACCAGAGCTCCTTCCGCGCAACTACGGCACATGCCGCGGGTACCTCAGGCTGGCGAGCCCCTGAATTGCTGGTAGACGACGACATGAGCCCGGCTATGCAGGGTAGCGAGTCCCAACACACCGAATCATCAGAACCAGCTGTGGTGGATCCTCAAACCAACCGGCGGGCTACTCGAGCTATCGACATCTTCTCTTTGGGCTGCGTCTTTTATTACGTTCTGACGCGGGGGTGCCATCCTTTTGACAAGAATGGCAAGTTTATGCGCGAGGCCAACATTGTCAAGGGCAACCACAACCTCGATGAGCTGCAGCGTCTGGGCGACTATGCCTACGAGGCTGAAGATCTAATCCAGTCCATGTTGTCGCTTGATCCTCGACGACGGTAAGTCGATGCTCATTACGTGCCATGCATAGTACTAACTTTTCTAGACCCGATGCGAGCGCTGTGTTGACGCACCCGTTCTTTTGGCCTCCATCTGACCGTCTTAGCTTCCTCTGCGATGTCTCGGATCACTTTGAATTTGAACCGCGGGATCCTCCTTCGGACGCCCTTTTGTGTCTCGAGTCGGTCGCTCCACGAGTGATGGGCCCGGACATGGATTTCCTGCGACTACTGCCACGGGACTTTAAGGATAATCTCGGCAAGCAGCGTAAGTACACGGGATCGAAGATGTTAGATTTGCTGCGAGCCCTCCGGAACAAGCGCAACCATTACAACGACATGCCGGAGCATCTCAAGGCACACATCGGCGGGTTGCCCGAGGGGTATCTTAATTTTTGGACTGTGCGATTCCCCAGTCTTCTCATGAGCTGCCACTCCGTCATTGTGGAGTTGCGTTTGACGCGGTCCGACCGTTTCAAGCGCTACTTCACGGCGACTGACTAGGTGGTGTTCACCCACGTAGACAGTCATTTACTTGTATACATGCATATCTAGATGACATATGTCACAATCAATAAGTTATACGAGTCTTACTTATCATTCTATCAATGGGAATTCATGCTGCAGAGTCGTCCGGTAGTGTGGGCGGGGTAGTCACGTGTCTAGTCTAGTGACCGGGGAAGCCCTCAGCGATGAGTCATGGAAAGCGCTGATTGGCCCAAGCGCGTTATCTGGAAGCAGCCTAGCGTCCCCGATGTCGCTGGGGGGGAGTCACAGTCATCGCCAGGACGGTGTGATTCAGACTTGCCTAATTCAGCCAGCCAGTCCCGTCGCTGTCCTTTATCAACACCGTCAATTCTTTCTTCTCTTCTTTCCATCCATCCAATCTTCACTATACACACATCCAAAATGAGCGGTAACAAGGCTGTCGCTGAAAACATGCTCTGGGGAGGTCGTTTTACCCGTAAGTACACCAATCCCCCCTCAATGCCTCTCAATGGCACAGCGGCTAATGTTCTCGTCCGGCTGCAGAGGGCCTCGACCCCCTGATGGTGCAGTACAACATGTCCCTGCCCTACGATCGCATCTTCTGGAAGCAGGACATTGCCGGCTCCATTGCCTTTGCCCGGGCCAACCACAAGAACGGCATCCTGACCGCACACGAGTTCGCTGAGATCGAGCGCGGCTTCAAGCAGATCGCCGAGGAATGGAGCACCAACACTTTCGTCGCCAAGGAGAACGACGAGGACATCCACACAGCCAACGAGCGCCGTCTTTCCGAGATTATCGGCAAGGAGATTGGAGGCAAGCTGCACACCGGCCGGTCCCGTAACGAGCAGATTGCCACGGACATGCGCTTGTGGCTGCGGGATGAACTGCGCAAGCTGGAAAGCTTCCTGTGCGATCTCGTCAAGGTCTCCATCGCCCGTGCGGAGTCTGAGCTCGACTACATCATGCCCGGTTACACTCACTTGCAGAAGGCCCAGCCGGTCCGCTGGAGCCACTGGCTGCTGTCCCATGCCACCGCCTTTGCCAGCGAACTCCAGCGTCTGCGTGAGGTCATCAAGCGTGTCAACCGCAGTCCCCTGGGTACTGGTGCCCTTGCAGGAAACCCTTTCCAGATTGACCGTGAGGCCATGGCCAAGGAGCTTGGCTTTGACGGTCTGCTCTACAACTCGATGAACGCTGTGGCCGACCGTGATTTCGCTATGGAGACCATGCAATGGGGCAGCTCCTTCATGCTCAAGATCTCCCGCTGGGCGGAGGATCTGATCATTTACAGCAGCTTGGAGTTTGGCTTTGTTCGGTTGTCCGATGCTTACTCGACCGGTTCGTCGTTGATGCCTCAGAAGAAGAACGCAGGTCAGTGCCCCCTTGATTACTATAACACGCAAATTTATACTGACTTTCTCAAAGACAGCCTGGAGCTTCTGCGTGGAAAGGCCGGTCGTGCCTTTGGCCAGATGGCCGGTCTGATGTGCACCATCAAGGGTCTCCCTACCACATACAACAAGGATCTTCAGGAGAGTGTCGAGCCCCTGCTCGACCACATCAAGACTGTCGGAGACAGCATTCAGATCGCCACTGGTGTTCTCTCCACCCTCACTACTATCCCCGAGAAGATGACCGCCGCGCTGGCGCCGGAGATGCTGGCCACCGAGATTGCCGATTACCTCGTCCGCAAGGGCGTGCCTTTCCGCGAAGGCCACCACATCTCGGGCCGTGTTGTTGCACTGGCCGAGAAGCACAACGTGCCCATGGACACCCTGTCTCTGGAGCAGCTGCAGACTGTGGATGCCCGGTTCGACGAGGGCGTCCAGGCCTGCTTGGACTACGAGCGTGCTGTTGAACTGAAGGATGCCGTTGGTGGTACCAGCCGCCGGGCTGTGTTGGAACAGACCGGTGTTCTTCGCGCATTGTTGTAGGCGTTTTTTGGTTTTTGGGATGGTTGGTTACGGTAAAAGTTAGCGATGCTACGGGATAGAGATTTGTATGATATCCATAATTCAATGATTTATTAGACGACATCGTTCATCATCCTCACTGCCGTAGTACAAGACCAAAAAGTAAGTCTGATCTATCTAGTGTGTAGTAGAGTGACGATTAAGATGGAAGTAAGGGCGAAGGGAACTGAAGCCTCTTCAGTTGCCTTGGCCTGCATTGAGTTGACACACCGGTTCTCTTCTCCAATCAGTATTCCACTCTTATCCTTGGGTCTTTCAAGAATTCTGTTGCATAATCCCAAGCCGCTTCACTCAGTGTGGAAGTGGCCTCCGCTATCTTCCTTGGTGTCTTGATGGCTAGCTCTGTAACCAGGCTGAGTTTTCTTTTCAAGTTGTCGTTCAGTAGCCTTGTCGAGGTTGAAGGGAGTGAGTGCAGTAGTACTATATATCAATCATCTCCCGACAACCACAACTACCACTGCAGTGCACTTTAACTGGTCGAGTTAGTAGCGAGACCATCCTATTCCCCCTAAACCAACGATATAAAGTCAGTCTCATCATCACTCCCTACTTACTTAACTGGGACACCCCCATCATCCCACAACCCCAGCAAATCCCCCGGCACCCCCCTCCCCACGGCCCCATTCCCATCATCCTGATACACCCTCAACACCCCATCCCCATTATGCACCAACGCACACTTATGCGGCACCCCCCTCACAACCTCAAACACCCTCTCCAACACCCTCACCAACTTCCGTATCTTCTCCTCATTATCCCTCTCCCACTGCGCCAACCTCCCCTCCTTCTCCATATTCTGCGTCCGCGCGGGCAAAAACGTCCCGTCGGGCTGATACTGCCCTGTACACAGTATCGGAGTATGCGAGAACCACATCTGCGATAGGTTCTTGGAGTTATCGAGTCGTTTATTCACAGGGCCGGTTTTGATCTCGATGATGCGGTGCGGAGGGACGAGGGTGCCGGAATTGATTATATTTATCCCTGTGGGGGTTTGCTGGTTGGTATTATTGGGATTGGGAGTGTGTGGTTTCCCGGGCATGCATGCGTCTACTTCATAGCGAAGCAGGATGTGTATCCCGCCCAGGGTATACCGTACCACTCTGTTGTGGATGATGCTTCCGCGGATGTAGCGCGGCGTCCAGGTAGATGTTTTCTCGAAGGAGTGGCCGTAGCCTTCGAATTTGCCTACGAAGTTGGTGTTGGTTTTGCTGGATGTCCAGGTCGAGAAGAGTACTGTGGAGTGGATTACTTCGATGTTGATTCGGAAGGGCTTTTTGTTGGCGCTGACGAAGGAGAGCAGGAGGCGGAGGTTGCGTCGGTCGGTGATTAGGTCCGTTGTGGTGAGGTTTAATCTTGGTTTGGGGGTGGTGCTGGTGGTGGAGATGGCGCGGAGGAGAGGTTCCAGGGAGCATTTGGGAAAGATGTGGCTGTTGGGGTCGAGGATGTATTTTCCGGAGTCGGCGGGGATGAGGAGGGGGGTTGTGGGGGGTTTGTAGATGGGGGGTGTTCCTTTGAATCTATAAGTATCCGGGTTTGGGGGTGAATGCTGGGGAGGGATCTACCTGGAACTACCATGCTCTTTTCCTTCTTCGGAAGAAGGTTATAGGATGTGATTGTTTTGAGGTCCTTTTTGGTGCAGCTGATGCTGGGGTCTGGTTGGATGCTGTCTAAGGGGATCTCCCCGATGGGCAGGAGGAGGCCCTTTAGGAGGGGGATTTTGGGCATGGTGTGGTGCTACTTTGGCTGTTTGTTTAGAATTGGAAGTAGTAGTGGTGGGATGGAATGTAGATGAAGTCCGGATAGGTTGTGTTTGCTGGGCACACTACTAGCTACTAGGAGTGTAGAGGTATACGCAAGGCTCAAGCCGTGATCTGGCCATGTTACCCCGCAGCTCAGGGGATACACCAGCAACAAATCATGCCAGCAAATCTGGTAAGTTGAATGCGAGTGGCTGTGTTGTACTTAGTCCGTTTTGAATTTTCTTTGTGTCAGCTCTATTGAAGCATGAGTGAAGCGGATGAATGGGTGGGTTTAACGGCGATTGTTGCTTATTTGCAATTGGGGCCCCTTTTCTTCTCCACTTGGACGGGGCCAGAAGGAGCTCACATGTTATGACTTTGAACAAGGTATGTGAGACATCCTAGGATATGAGAGTTGGTTTCATTGGTCATTAGTACTTATGTATGAGGGGATTAGGTGGGTCAATGTGTTGTATGGAATCAGAACACTCGCAACAGTTTCCTTGTATGTTAATACATAAATAGTATGGATGTATATACTAGGGTCAGGGTCCTGCGGAACGCCAGATGAATCGGACACAGATCGTGCCATTGTTCAGATAGGCTCTTTAGCCGCCCGTCGAAACACTGTAATGCCTGGACCCTGCCGCTATTAGTGTCCAGTCGTAATGACAAGCGCTCATGATTGTTGGTGCCTAATCGATATGATAATTAATGTTACATTCACCCCAGCAGCTTCTGATATATAATGGGGCAGTGCTACAGATCAGCGATGGGGTAATTTCCAGATAGTGGGGCTCAAGTTGATGTTCGTCTCAGATTCTAGCTTCATTTAAGTGTATGAACTATGGGTAGGGCCAAAGTACCAGGAACAATGCTGGTGAATAGAGGTACAAAGTCAATGGCAGACATGGCGTTGTAAATTAGGTACACAAAAGCCAGGAGAATATAAAACTTTAAAGTGAGCAGTGTAACAAGTACTACGGGACGATGGCGCATCTGGGAGCGCGTCAGACTGAAGATCTGGAGGTGGCCGGTTCAAGCCCGGCTCGTCCCATTCTTTTTGGTTTTTTATTTCTTTTATTTTTTTTTTCCCCCTTTGACCATCCCTATCTATCTCTTTGTCGTTTATTCCAACCCTCTTCTTATGCTTACCACTCTTTCAATTGCGCACTACGAACCGTAGTTCATCACAGCAATCCGTAATTAGATGATATAGACTAATCCCAACAATCGCTATGGCACGCATTGGTATGTACACCGATCGCCCGCCCTACGACAGTCAAGCAAGGAGATTTGATCTGTTCCGCCTGTCCCGATGCTTATCTTAGGTTAACTGTCAGGATGATCAGCGGTCCATTATCTTAAATACGCCCAATGAATGGACCCTATCATCCTGTTTGGGGCCAAAGACGGGTGTACCTGGTAGGATCACAATAAAAATTGCATAGTCCATTTGCATGATAGAATGTAGCAGCATCGCTCGATTCAGTATCAAAGCACCCACTCTTTACCGCGCAACAGTTCCATCAGCGCCATTGCTGCTCCTAAACTAACCGATTGGTGCAGGCTGGTGGTAGCGCCGGAGGAACTCAGTCAGCGTTGGATGGCGATCGGGTCTAAATTTAGCTGGGGGCATCCGGCCCCGAAGGGTCCAGCAAAAGAAGCCTGAGCCCAACCAACAACCCTCTAGTCCCTTGTAGGCAACCTGCGTGAATCCATTGACACCCGCTTGGCACCTGCAAAGCCCGCCAACCAGATGGAGAAAAGCCTGGCCACTCCCTCCGGCGCCACTGACTCTTCCAACTTCATGTCCCCGTCAGACTTATATCCTGCGTGTGACTGTCGCTTTTCCTCCCGCTCAATCTCTCGCTAACTCCCCTCGACAACTCTGTTGCATTTCCCTATTTTGCCAGCCATTTGACGACATGTCAGATAGCACGCTGGTGTCAGTCGTTATCTGGAATCGCTAGTTGCTCACCCCCCGTCATTCGCTCCCATTTATCTTCACTTCCCCACCACCCCCTAAAGTGAGACGTGAGAATGCGCTGGTCAACGTGTCTTACCAGCGCCCTCCTCGCGTCTACAGCACCGCTGGCCGCTGCAACCAGACTCATTGAATCAAATGCTTTGAATATCTGCCAGGATAGCAACAATTTTACTGCCACCTACTTCAGCGTCCGCTTCACGCCCGAGAATCGTTCCTTGGTTCTGAGTTTCGATGGCGTGGCCGCCATCTCCGGCAAAGTTACTGCCGATCTCTCGGTCGACGTCTATGGCTACCAGTTGACTGGTGAGACGTTGGATCCGTGTAAAATGAATATAGAGGGTCTCTGTCCGATGAGCGCCGGTGCCATTAATGTCCAGAACGCCCCGGTCACAATTCCGGAAGATGTGGTGCGCCGGATCCCGGGTCTGTAGTATCCCGCGCATTGATTGTCTAATAGTATTATTAACAAAATTCTAGGTATCGCATACACTGTGCCAGACCTTGATGCCACCGTTCGGGTTTACATCAACTCCACGGATACCGGCACCAGTATTACATGTCTCGAAGCGACCTTGTCGAATGGAAAAACAGTCTACCAGAAAGGAGTCGGATGGACGACCGCGGTGATCTCCGGCGTCGGGCTTATCGCTTCAGCTGTTGCAGCTGGTCTGGGCAACTCGAACACTGCGGCCCATGTCGCCGCTAACGTGCTGGCCTTTTTCAGCTTCATGCAATCACAGGCCATGTTTGGGATGATCTCGGTCCACATGCCGCCGATCGTGGAAGCATGGACCCAGAACATGCAATGGAGCATGGGGATCATCCATGTTAAGTTCTTGGATACCATTTGTACCTGGTACCAAAGGGCAACTGGCGGTACGCCGTCGACTGTCTTGTCCGAGCTCTCGACTACGTCTGTTGAAGTTCTGAAACGAAAGCGATCTTTTGATGGCGTCACCAATGTGTTCAAACGACAATATGCCCAGTCGGAGACTGCCACTACCGGCACCACAGTGGTGCGGGGAATCGATCGTGTGGGGTTCAGGGCCGGCATTGAGGGCACCAATATCTTCCTCACCGGCTTCATCTTCTTCGTCTTTTTCGTCGCCGTGGTGATGATCATCGTCGCGTTGCTCAAGGTGGGAAGCCACTTTCTGGCGAAGAAAGGGAAGACCAAGACCGACAAGTTTGGCGACTTTCATGTGTCGAAAGGTATCCTCTATCGGCTCATTTTCATCGGATTTCCGCAGATGTGCGTCCTTTGTCTGTGGGAATTTACGCAGCATGATTCGGCAGCCGAAGTCGTTTTGGCGGTGATCATGTTGGTTTCCATGATCTGCACGCTGGGCTGGGCTGCCTTCCGAGTCATCATTCTCGCACGGAGGTCGGTAGCGATGCATCGCAACCCGGCCTATATCCTCTACTCAGACGAGGCATGTCTGAACAAGCTGGGGTTTTTGTATGTGCATTACCGAGCGACCGCCTACTACTTCCTCGTGTTCGCACTACTGTATATCTTCGTCAAGGCGATGTTCATCAGTCTGAGCCAGCCGGCCCCGGTGGTGCAGACGGTGGCCATGGTGATTATTGAGACCTTGGCGCTTATTGGGATCAGTATCGTGCGACCGTGGATGGACAAAAAAACCAATGGCTACAATATCGCCATCGCATCCATCAACTTTTTAAATTCCATCTTGTTGCTTTTCTTTTCCAACGTCTTCGACCAGCCCGGCATCGTGACCGGTGTGATGGGGGTCATTTTCTTTGTGTACAATGCCGCCTTTGCGCTCATTCTGCTCCTCCTCGTTCTTTACTCCGCCGTTAACGCTATCTTCTCGAAGAATCCGGACATGCGCTATCGGCCGATGCGGGACGACCGGGGGTCCTTTGCCAAGTCGGGGAGCCAGTTGATCACGGAGCTGGATGCGCTCGGCACGACTGCTCGGGGTGAGGGCACGCCGGAGATGTGGAACAAAGGCAGTTTGATCGACGACACTGGGTCTGTTGCTAGTGAGGGACTGCATCGAAGTCACCAAGATCCGGCCCGCGACACTGCTCCTGGTCGTGAGATGTCTGAGACGCCCGTCAGCCAGGCGAATTTGTTTCCCGTCAGTCGAGGGGGCAGTCCTGTTCATCGAGTAGCGTCCATGAATGCCGCAGGTGTGCGCCGCAGTCTGTTGAGTGACAGCGATACGGCATCGGCGACTCACCCGCATGCAAACCTATAGTGGATTTCCGATGAATAGGAGGTAGCAACTGAGGCGTTATTATGATGTTAAATGTATCTAAGTTATATCTTGCGCTTTCTAAATTTATTTCATGGTCTGGTTCCAAGCTATATGATTTTGTAAGTGCTCTCTGCCTCTGCATGGGAATAGTCGGGTGCAGTGGATCTTCAGCGGCGGGCTAACCCGACCCCCGTGGGGAATTGCAGCAAATGCAGCGAACAGATCCTGTGGACTGGCCATTAGGCAACACTCGGCATTTCCGGCTCTCGCGCGATCCCTCTTGCCGATTCTCCTCTCTCCCCAACTTTTCTCCTCATCGCGTCTCCTCTTTTCATCTCGAGGACCCATCGATTCCAGTCTCTTGTTCCATTGTCCACCTGCCGATGGCTGCCAAGTCATGCATTGCAGTTTGTCTGCCAACCAACCAACCAACAGCACGATCGCCTCACGTCCCCACGCGCGTCATTTCCGTCCATCACCGAACCTGAGTAGCAGTGGAGAACCAGCAGATATGCGTCATTCCTCGGAAGGATGATCTACCGATAACTTTGATCGTTGCTACCATCGGCTGCCATTGTACCGACTAAGCTTGATGGCCGATATTTAGCCGTGCAGAAAGCCAGCTTGAGAGACACCCAGTTTCACCAAAATCATCTCACAATGTGGTCTTCCTGGCTGCTGTCGGCCTTACTGGCCACTGAGGCGTTGGCCGTGCCCTACGAGGAGTACATCCTAGCCCCGAGCTCTCGCGACTTGGCTCCTGCGTCCGTTCGCCAGGTGAACGGTTCCGTCACCAATGCGGCCGCCTTAACGGGTGCCGGTGGGCAGGCCACTTTTAACGGCGTCTCGTCGGTGACATATGACTTTGGCATCAATGTTGCTGGTATCGTGTCTGTGGATGTTGCTTCCGCCTCCTCCGATTCCGCCTTTATCGGCGTGACCTTCACCGAGTCTAGTATGTGGATCAGTAGCGAGGCATGCGATGCTACTCAGGATGCGGGCCTTGATACTCCGCTCTGGTTCGCTGTCGGTCAGGGAGCGGGCCTGTATACAGTGGAAAAGAAGTACAACCGGGGCGCGTTCCGGTATATGACGGTTGTTAGCAACACCACCGCCACGGTCTCTCTCAACAGCGTCAAGATCAACTATACGGCATCTCCCACACAGGACCTTCGTGCGTACACGGGGTACTTCCACAGCAACGATGAGCTCCTCAACCGCATTTGGTATGCCGGTGCCTATACCCTGCAGTTATGCAGTATCGATCCCACTACGGGAGACGCTTTGGTGGGCCTGGGCGTCATCACCTCGTCTGAGACCATCTCACTTCCGCAGACGGACAAGTGGTGGACAAACTACACCATCACCAATGGCAGCAGCACCTTGACTGATGGAGCCAAGCGTGACCGGCTTGTCTGGCCAGGTGATATGTCCATTGCTTTGGAGAGCGTGGCTGTCAGCACCGAGGATCTGTATAGTGTCCGCACGGCATTGGAATCCTTGTATGCTCTCCAGAAACCTGATGGCCGACTTCCCTATGCTGGGAAACCATTCTTCGACACGGTTAGCTTCACCTACCATCTCCACAGCCTGGTTGGCGCTGCATCCTATTATCAGTACACTGGGGACCGCGCGTGGTTGACCCGGTACTGGGGTCAATACAAGAAGGGTGTGCAATGGGCATTGTCGAGCGTGGACAGCACGGGCCTGGCCAATATCACAGCAAGTGCTGACTGGCTGAGGTTTGGCATGGGGGCACATGTAAGTACACAGCAGAAGACAATCAGTGCAATGCTAATAAGAACAGAACATCGAAGCCAACGCGATTCTGTACTACGTCCTCAACGATGCCATCTCTCTCGCCCAGACCCTCAATGACAACGCACCCATCAGGAACTGGACCACCACTGCGGCCCGGATCAAGACTGTAGCAAACGAACTTCTCTGGGACGACAAGAACGGTCTCTACACCGACAACGAGACCACCACCCTGCACCCGCAAGATGGCAACTCCTGGGCTGTCAAGGCAAACCTTACCCTCTCTGCCAACCAGAGTGCCATCGTTTCTGAATCGCTCGCTGCCCGCTGGGGACCTTACGGCGCACCCGCCCCGGAGGCGGGTGCAACGGTGTCGCCTTTCATCGGCGGCTTCGAGCTGCAAGCCCACTACCAGGCTGGCCAGCCTGATCGCGCCCTCGATCTCCTCCGGCTGCAGTGGGGATTCATGCTGGATGACCCGCGGATGACCAACTCCACCTTCATCGAGGGGTACTCCACGGACGGATCGCTGGCCTACGCACCGTACACCAATACGCCGCGGGTGTCGCACGCGCACGGCTGGGCCACGGGACCGACGTCCGCGCTGACCATCTACACGGCCGGGTTGCGTGTGACAGGACCGGCGGGTGCGACCTGGCTGTA